CCTCCTCATCGTGACCGTCCGACCTTTGCGCGTGCCTGATTGGCCTGATTATCCGGGTTGTCCGTAAAATATCTCAGAATAACGTCTGCCTACGACGACACAACCACCGCCTGCGATGGACGCAGGGCCGCGAAACCTCGTCGGCCACTCTTCTCTACACCCTCGCCGGCGACTGTGCTCGCTGGTGCTGCGAATGCCGGCTTCGGGAATCTGCTCCGTTGAATCTGAGCCGTCCGTCCACCATGTGCGTCGATTCCTTCGGCGCAACAGCAGCAGACTTTCAGTGATCAAGACGGTTCGATAAGCGCTACGAGCTGGCGTGGCGCTTGACCTAATCGCTTCCAACCGTTCCGAGGACGCAGTGTTGAATGCGAGTGAAAGGGCGAGTGGATATGAGCCCAAGAGAATGCGGAGTGAATGATGTGTAGAAACGACGAGTGGGCCGGGGAAGCAAGCATGTTGAAATGCACAGCACGATGTGAATGTACTCTGCTAGGAATGACGACCGCGGTGGCGGCGTCATCCCCGGCCGAATCGCCTGACTCAACATTGCTCGTCGCATGCTCTTTCTCTCTCTCTCTCTCTCATCGCTGAACATGGCGTGGCACCATCTGTGACCAGCTCAGCTCGCTGTACGTCGTTCAACAACCGTCGCTCCACCAACTAGGGCACACGGTGCAGCACTCGAGTGGTAGAATGCGCAGTAAATGCAGCGCCAGGCCATGAATCCCCCACCCTCACACGCCCTGGGTGAACGGCACATGGCTGCCAGCCCACACGGCAGGCGGCCTGAGGCGCACCGAGATTTGGCTCGCCCCAGCAAGACGGGAAGGGAGGGAGGGAAGTGGGAGGAAGGGAGAGCTACACGACAGGGAAGCCAGGCTGGAAACTATTCGCGTTATTTACGAAGCCGGTAAATTTACTGCATGTACAGAGAATTTGTGCGCACCTACTATAGCGCTACAAATAAACGTGACAAGCCTTTACAAGTTTGAAGTGGGTGCAAAGGCATCACCTACCACATTCACCCAAGCAATTGGCCAACCCAGCACAGCATAACATAGCACATTCACAGCAGTCTCCACACGAACCACCGCCACTGCAGAAGCTCCCACAAGAATAATCATCCTCCTTCCTCATCTCTTCTCTTGCCTTCTCTCGTCTCTCCCTCCTCAACAGAGCATGACCATACCCTCCCACGCCCAACAGCACGACCAGCAGGCAGGAAACAGTGAGGCACACGCAGCCAGCGAGAGAGAGGTCGTCCCTCACGACCTTGAGGAGCGCTGCCTTGCATGTGTCGCAGCTGAAACACCTCCCACCACCGCCTGGGTCAGCGCTGGTGCAATCTGAGAACGATGTGGAATTGGCGCGAACAGCAGTGGTCCGGATGGTTGGTTGCAAATGGTTGTCAGTGTGCGATGACTTTGCCACGGAGGGTGCAGGAAGTGCTGCTGGTGCTACTGGTGAGAGGGCGACTGATGGCGCAGGTGATGGGGCAGACGACAGGATAGGTGTCGTGGAAAGAGTTGTGTTCGTGCTGCACGGGGCGGGGGAAAAGCAGCACCCACTCTGTATGACTGATGGGTTCTTGACGCCAGAGCTACCGGATGCAGCTGCAATACTGCTGCTGTTGCTGCTGCTTTTGTGTATCCCTCCCATCTCTCCCCCAGCACCCCTCCAAGGAGGTGGCAGGGCAGGGCAGGAGCTGTTGGACACCAGGCATGTGCGCATGGCCTCCCATGCCTCAGGCTGCGCCACCAGCCCCTGCAGCCACGACGAGAAGCCCGCCACGCTGTACACCGCCTGCCCTGCCGCGCCCACCGTGGCGCTGGGGGATGGCGCTGTTACTGCCAGGGCGAACGCTGCGGCAGGGGGGATGGAAAAGAGGGGGTAGATGTGGGTGCAGAAGAGAGAAAGGGTGGATGGGCTTTGGGCAAATAAAGAGAATCAGACGAGCAGCCATAATCGGTTACACAGGGCAACGCAGTTGGCCAGCGCTGGTGCTCACCTGAGTATGCCAAGAGCGCGAGGGTGAGGGCGGCGGAGCAGCAGAGGAAGAGGAATTCAAGGCACCCCTCGTGCGCCAGCGCGCCGATCAGCCCCAGTATGCTTGCGCTCAGCAGCACCGCGCCCATCGCGTTGCTCGGCGCGTCCAGTGGCTGCGCGCACGCGCTACCACTGCCGCTGGTGGGGGGAAGAGTGGTGCGGAGACGGGGAGGCTGGCGGGAGGGTGAGGGGTCGCGGGGAGTGGATGGGCGCGTGAAACAGAAAGCGCTGCGCGCTCGTTGAGGTATGCAAAGGCGCGCAATGGCGGCGAAGCGCGGATGGGAACGGAGCAGCAGGGAGCGGAGGGTGCACGCAGACCTGAGCGCGAGGTAGATCGAGAGCGCCAAGAGCCCCACTGATACCGCCACCGCTCCGCCCGTCGACGCCACCATAAGGGCTCTCGCCGCCTTCATCGCTGCGCGCCGAGCGGCGTTGCGTGGTTGGGAGACAAGCACGAATGCAGCGGATCGCGGCGTGGTTCAATCAGAAGACGAACGCACGCTCGCGACCTAGAGCTCGTGTGGACGAGGTACAGAGAGGTGGTGGCGTATAGCGGAGGAGGCGAGCAGAGAGATGGCGACTACCGCCAGGAGGGTGTATCGGTGGGATGGTGGCTAAGAATGAGCACGGAAGGGATATGCGGCAGTTGAGGTCTCTCTGAATAGATAACTTGCTTGGTGGCGTTGGAGCGTGGGAGGCGGACACCAAAGTGTAACGCTTTGAACTCGCCATCTTCGCCGAATCGAGAAGGGCAAAAATGAAAGAAATGGCGGCGACTGGCGTTGCGAGGGCGACAGGGGAAGAGAGAGTGGCTTGGCGGAAAGGGCGGGATGGGTGGTGCCTGGAAGGCAGGGCGCGTTTGCCGTAGGAGCAGGAAAGGGAGGTAGGGGCTGCCTGTCTGGGAGCGCGGGAAACGACTGCTTTTCGCGCGAAATTCTCGAGGCTTCGACAGAAAATCTTTTGTTGAACAAGAACTACAGTGAGACGTCTACACGTAACAAAGCCAAGGATGTAACATTAAGTGCACCAAAATACATGATTGACAACTAGCTGGCAAGAACCAGCTTGTGGAACTTGTCCAGGCACTGAAGGGCGAGGGTGAAGCGGTGGTCGTCGAGGAGCAGCACGAAGCGGCAGTAGCCGGGAATGCTCGTCCAGTCGCTGTTGTTGATCATCAGCCCTGTCGTCGAGAACAAAGCCTCGGATATATTGACACTATCGAGTGTGACTGTGACAGGCTGCGGCTCTTGATCGCCGTTGGTTGACGGCGGCTGGTACGTGAACTGCTTGCCCTCGTAGGCTGTAGGGCGTGCCACCAGGAATATTCCGCCCTCTGGACGAATGGGGTCCCAGCCACAGCTTGAGAGAACCTGCCCATGAAAGCGTTGGGGAGATGCAGGTGAGATGGCTGGTTGGGTGCCCACAGCAACAGTGATTGCCTCTATGCAGGTGAGGAGTGGGATGCTCGAGGCAAAGGCAAGGCAGTGCAAGAGTAGGCCATGGCGGGGCACGGCAAGAGAGAGTGCGGTGGAGAGGGTGTGCGGCAAGAGGGTGTGCAGGGGCCCACCTGGCAGAGCTGGTCCGCCCTCTGCTGCAGCTGCTCGCGCCGTACTGCCATCTCCCCTGCCAGCTCAGCCGCCACCTGCACTCAATGCAAGGCAGCATGGGAGGCGATGGATTGGTCAATGGCGGTGGCAGGGGGAGCTGCAAGGAGCAGTGTGGCATGGAGGTGCCATGAGCGGCCATGGGGCCAATGGCCTGTGACTTACACTGCCAGTCAATCGCATCCTTTGCTGACGCACCTCGTTGGATAGCATCCGCTTGACAGCAAAGCGCAGTGTGCGATGAGGTGGCACCGCGGTGCTGAGGGCCTCCTTGAAGGACGACTCCCAGAATGCCACGTAGGCAAACTGGATGCCCAGCGTGGACAGCTGCAGGGAAGGAGTGCACAGGAGTTAGAATTGAAATGGGGAAAGGGAAATGGAGGCGGGCAGGTGCGTTGAGTTTGCGTGGTGAAGGGGAGTGCGGTGCGGAGCATGTGTTGAGAGTGGAGGAGAGCCCTGGTTGACAATGAAAGCGATACGAGCTATAGGGGTGGGCAGACGCAGCAGTGCTTGTACCTGAGGTGACAGGTCCCCCATGAGCACCAGCGCATAGTGCTCGTGCGCCTTCTCCCTCCGCTCTCCCTCTCCCTCTCCCTCCCCATCCACGTCATCCCCCGTGCGGCCCAGGTAGGGTTCAAGGAGCAGGTGGGGTAGGGCGTGGAAGGTGAGGGAGTGGAAGGCGGAGTCGAGGATGACCCGCGCGCCCACGCGCATGCACACGGCGAGCAGCGACGCCAGGTGGGCGGGCGAGTAGAGCGCCCCCGTGGGGTTCACCACCGGCGCTGACAGCACCAGCCACGGCCGGGTGATCCCTGCTAGCGCTGCCTCCAGCTGGCAGCAGAAGGGAAGACGAGGGGGAAAACGACAGTTGGGTGAGGGAAAGACTGGATGGGATGAGAGGCACGAGAGCAATGCAAGGGGGGAGGTGAGGCGGGGAGGGGCCGGGAGAGCGTGCAAGCATCAGGTCCTGACTCCCACTGGCATGGCAGCGCACCTGGTCCGCAGTGAGGGTGAAGCGCGTGTCCGCCGAGGTGACGGGCAGCACGTTGACCTGGCAGCCACACAGGCGTGCCGCCGCCAGACACGTGCCGTACGAGCCCGCTGGGAACACTGCCGTGCCGCCCTCGGCAGCACAGGCCGCCATGAGGCGCACAAACAGCACCCGCGACCCGTCCCCCGTCACCACCGTCGTGCCCTCCGCCCTCACCCCAAACTCACGGTGCAGCAACTGGTGGGCGGAGGGAGGGGGAGGGAAAGGGGAGCGGGAGAGGGTTAAGGGGAGGGAGATATGAAGGGAGGCGGTAGATGGGGGCGGGGGAAGCAAGAAGCAAAGAAGTGTTGGAACGGGACATGGTGGGTGGGACGTTGGTGTGGCAGGTGTAGGCACGCACGTGCAGGATCTCAGTGCGGGGGTCGGTCTCGGCGTCACTGAGGTGTTGGCGCACGAACGCCTCCACCACCAGCGGCTGCACCACTGATGGCGCTGGCAGCGCTCCCGACCCCACGTCCATGCGCACTGTGGGGCCCGCCCCTGCCTGCGCTGCTGCTGTGCTGCCCGTGGTGGCGGTGGTGGTGGAGGAGGAGGAGGAGGAGGAGGGCGAGGCGAGGGCGTGGGTGAGGGAGAGGGTGCGCAGGGTGGGGTGGTTGAAGGCGCGTGCAGCATTGGGGTGGATGGAGATGAAGGGCGACGACGGCGGGTCGTCCTGCAGTGGCCGCTGCACTCGTGGCACGACAGGTGGGGGGAAAGGCAGGGCGGGGAAAAAGGAAATCAAAGAAGGGTTGAGTTTGAATGGGCAATGAAACGACACGATTGGACGGCAAGGAAAGATGGAAGCACAGAGAGCCCACAACGAGCGGCCAAAAGCCCCCCTGGTACCACTGCATGACAGACGCCCCTGCCCCACCTCAGCGACGGTGTGGCGGTCGGGGATCTGGAAGGAGAGGAGCTCGTCGAGCAGGCAGCCGTAGTAGAGCTGCTTCATGCGCGCCACTCTGAAGTACGTCAGCTCGCCCATCCCCGCCAGCCACGCCAGCAGCGCCCGCGACTCCGCCAGCACGAAGGCGACCTCGAGGTCGCTGTACACCTGGTTGCGCACCAGACCGCAGATCACCCCCGCGTGGGGCGGCAGCGCCTGCTCCGCGAGGTACTGTAGCACGCCGTTGCTGGGCGGCACACTGGAGAGCTCGAGGTGGTCGGAGATGTCGAAGAAGACGCGCGTGTGCGTCTCCGCTGCGGCCGCCAGCAGCAGGTGCACCGCCGTGGGCGAGCGCATCTCAAAGTCGGGGAGTGCCGCGATGAGCACGGCCGGGCGCAGCGCGCGCAGCAGCTTCAGCAGCAGGTCGCTGCGCCTGGGAGCCTCCAGCACCACCGGGGTGGACTGCGGGGGGAGGGGGAGTGGGGGAGAGAGGGGTGAAGGGGGGGGAGTGGGGGGAGAGAGGGGTGAAGGGGGGGGAGTGTGAACTGGAGAGGAAGTCGGAAGGGGAAAGGGAAGGAGGGAGGGAAAGTATGGGAGTGCTGTTTTGGCAAGAGCTTCTGCTCTGCCTGTCGGATTCTCTCACATCCTCACTTCAAGCACACCTGCCTGATCGCACGACCTGTCCATACCGCACCTCACCTGCCCTCACCGCACGTCACCTGCCCACCTGAGCGTGAGTGGTGGCATCTGAGGGCGGGCCATCAGGCGGGGCAGAGGCGAGCCAGGAGGGGGGGAGGTGGCGAGTGAGGGAGGCGTCAACGAGGGCGAGGCCGGGCAGGTAGAGGCGCAGAATGTTCTCCACTGCTGTGGCCCTCGTGGGCAGCACCACCACGTTCTGATGGCGGGCGAGAGAGGATGGGGGGGAAGGGGAGGAGGCGGGGGCAGAGAGAAGGGAAGGCGGGATTAGGCAAATGAGAGAAGGCAGGAACCATTGACGTGACACAATCTCTTTCAACCCATCCCCATTCCCGTACTCTTCATCCCTTCCCTTCCCCTTTCATGTTAGCTCCCTTCTCCCAGCACAACACCCCCTTCTCCCAGCACAACACCCCCTTCTCCCAGCACAACACCCCCTTCAACTGTTGTCCCACCCTCTCCCCCCCTCCCCCAGGTCTCTACTCTTCCCCCTTTCACTTGGCACGCACCTGGGCGGAGAGGGGGGCGCGGAAGTAGAGGCGGAGGAAGCCGGCGACCTGGGAGCGGAAGCGCAGCGTGCCCGCAGGGGGCTCGTCCGACGGGCACAGTGCGGGGGGGGAGGGGGTCAGGGAGGCAGAGGGCGCGGGGGCGAGGGAGGCGTGGTGCAGCGTGCGCAGCAGCGTGGCGAGGAAGGGCGTCTTCTCGTCTGCCACGGCGGTGGAGGTGAAGGCGAGGTCCACTGCACTGCGCGTCGCTGCGTACTCTGGGCGCGCCAGCCACCGGAACAGCTCCTTCACCTGGTGGGCGGGCAAAGAGGGTTTTTGGGAAAGGGGAGGGGGTTGGTCACACACTGGAATAAGTCAGTGAGTGGGCAGTCAGGCATGGGATGGCATGGCATGATTGCAGCTTGAATGAGCACACAGTCATCAAATGTGTGAGATGCGCGAGATGGCAACGACATGGACCAGCACGCCACGCCCCCACGCCCCAATACCACTCACGTGGTTGGGCTGGCGCAGGCGGCACTCAAACACCGTGAGCCCGTGCGCAATCCTCCCACCCGCCTTGGCAAACGCATACGCCGTCCGCGCACTGATGGGCTCATCACCGGTAGTAGCCGCCCCCATGCCGAGCCCCATGAAGAACTCAAAGCGGTGCCGGCTCTGCCTCTCGATCTCCACCAGCGCCTGTATGTCCGTGTCCGCCGCCTGGAACACCCGCGTCTGCCACAGCCTCTGGATCTCAAACCCGCGGCGGCGGAACAGGCGCTCGCACACCGCCATGCCGGGGCGGCCGCCCATGTTCATCAGCAGCGCACCCGCGGGCTTGAGCGCGGCGATGCTCTCCTCGACGGCGCGGGCAATGAGGCCGAGGCCGAACTGGTCCTCGACGTACCCCTGCAGGCTGCAGTAGTTGGAGAGCGAGTAGAGAAACTCCTCACTCATCGTCTCCGATACTATCTTGAGCGCCGCCTTGGGGTCTGGTGTCAGCACCTGCAGGGGGGGGATACGGTGGGATGAGGTACGGGGGAGAGGGTGAGTGGGAAAGTGAGAGAGTGGAAGTGGGGGAAGTGAGAGAGTAGGAGAAGGATTGGAAATGGATGAACAGAGAAGAGCACAGACATGAGCACACAGCAGACAATCCAATCACCACAATGCCTCTTATGCACTGACACACACAGCACCCACACATCCCCCCCAGCCCCTCTGCACCTGGGGGATGCAGCCGACGATGCGGTCGAGAGTGACCCCGCGCTGAGAGAGCGCCCCCAGCAGGTCGGATTCGAGGAACTCGCAGCGGTCCAGCAGCGACAGGCCCTCGCTGTCCCTCACGGGCAGCCCGTCCAGTGGGGAGAGCGCGTTGAGGTACAGGTTTATCCACGCTACCTGCACCGCCCGCGGGTTGATGTCCAACCCGTACACCTGGTGGGGGGGGGTGGGGTTGGGTGGAGGAGGAAACAGGAGAGTGTGAGACGTGGGGAGGGGTGAGGAGAGGGGGAAAGGAGGGGTGAGGGTGAGTTGTGTTGGGGAAGGGAAAGAAAACAGCTGGGCACAGGGATGATCAAGGGGATATGGATGGTGATGGGATTCGGGCCTCCTCTGCAGCACCTCAAGGCTGCACTGCACCTAGGAACGCCCACTCGTCCTCCCTGCCCCACGCCCACACCCCAGCCTGCACGTCCTCCCCTCCCCTTCCCTCCCACCCCCTCCATACCACACCTTCCTGGGCGCCCAGCGGTGCGCGAGGGCGATGGAGATCCACCCGTTGCCGCACCCCAGCTCGGCGACATCGCGGCCCGTGAACCCGGCGTCAGGGTGGCGGGTGAGGCCCTCGTAGAAGGTGAAGGACCAGTCCTCGGGGATGAAGATGGACGGCAGCTCCACCAGCGCTAGCGTCTGCCGCGCTCCTCCTGCACTGCTGCTTGTGCTCTCCCCTGCGGCTCCATTGCCATTGGTGCTGGCGGCGCCAGCAGCTCCGTTTTGATGTGTCCCTGCAGGGTCGTGGTCTGAGGGGGAGGGATAGTGCGAAAGAAAGGGAATGCGGAGAGGTGAAGGGGAGTGAACAGCGCAAACTCATGCTCGCCATTTGCTGTTTTTGGACCCCCCAGCCATGTGTCCCCACCCTAAACATGCTCACCACCCATTACGGAGCCACCACCCGTCTCCATGCATGGGGCATTACGATTGAGGTGGGAAAAGCATTCACAGGCTGGGGAGTGGACAGAGCTTTCCAGCGTGGGGGAGCGGGGAGAGCGCACCAGAGTGGGGGAGCGGGGAGGCACCAGAGTGGGGGAGCGGGGAGAGCGCACCGGAGTGGGGGAGCGGGGAGAGCGCGAGCGTGTGGATGCGGAAGTTGAAGGTGCGCATCACCTCCTCCGCGGGCTCCGCTGGCATCGCCGCCTCCAGCGCCGCCAGGAACCTGCCACACGCACCAGGCGGGTAGCGAAGCGCTAGTGAAGAGAGAGTGACAACTGAATCTGTCGTTGCCTTGCGGGACACACATCTGTCGTTGCCTTGCGGGACACACATTTGGTTCCAAGTTATCTGGAAGGACCCCTTGCACTTGCCTCTTCTCGCCGTGTCGCGTCACCTCATTAGCTCGCCAATAATCCGTTGAAGGCCCCACCAACCGTCCCCTTGATTTGAATTTTCAAAGCGTGATTTTTGTACTTATTGTTTATACGGCGTGCTTCCCCTAATCGTGGTTCCGCTAAACGGATTCAAGATGTCGCCTTGTGTCAGACAACGTTTCAGTGGTCACTTTTCACCACCAGCAAACGGGTTTTCGCAGCCTTCCGATTACGGCTAGCATACCTTCTCGCGGCGGCTTGGGTTTCGGGATTGCGCAACGCCTTGAGGATCTCTTTGAAGTTAGAATACGCCTGCGACGACAGGGTAGCCACGGGACGCACACAACCGCGGAGAATGAGTAACGCGGGAGGCGAAACGAGAGAGCTCGCGCAAGCTCTTCATTCAGACGACAAAGCAGCACAGGAATGGGAGCTCACCTGATTGCCGGATTCCTTGCAGCTCGCGAGGAACGAATCCACGTCATCTAGCGACACCGCCATCCTTCCCGCGCCCGCAGGCAGCACTCAAGTGGGAATTTACAGTGCAAAATTGCGTCGACTGAATCTTGAAATGCGTGCAAGTGATTGCAAAAGTGAAATTTCCTATGGCGAATGGGGAAGGGGCTCGAAAACTGGATGTGGAAATGTGCGAAATTCAAGGTTGGCAGGAACAAAGTAGCACCAGTGTGCTCTTGGAGCCCAGAAATTGGCTCGGCTGAAATGAGCCTTGGCTTGGGTTGCTCCGGGGAGGGGCTGGTTGGAGGTACCGTGCCAGCAAGGGATGTTTCGCTTCGCGTGAAGCCAACAGAGGAAAAAAATGCGGCGAGAATATGCCACCGTGCCTGCCTCGCATAGGCTTGGGGATTGGCTTGGCTCGAGAGGTTGTCCCTGCGTTTGGACAACCAACCAGCGGCTTGACACATGGCAACACCTGGGAACCACCCCGATCTGACGTGACGTGATTTTAGCATTCGTCATCAACGTTCCCAATATACGTCAGACCAGAAAATGCTGCTAAGAAGGAATGCGTGAGGTGCATAGTGCACTGAACAAGGACAAAATTTTCACTCGTGATAGTATCTGTTCTGGTGGAAAGCTAAACATAAGCGCTGTTTTTACACAAGTGGTACATAAGGTTACATGATTAAGTCCTCGACATAGAATGCTACACGTTTAGCTTATGAGGTTCCAATGCTAGCTTATGAATAGACCTGAGTTGTTACATAAATTGTTACAACTCATTTTTAAGGCAAACATGTGTGATAGGGACACCAGCAATCAAAACCTTTGTATGTCAAAAGCACACTCCATGGTGCTCTACATGTTGGGAGGCATGCCTAGGCTGGATGCAAGGTCCTTCATGCGTAGCTTCATGGCCTGCATAACACGCAGACAGGGTTTAGGAATGTCAAAACGAGGGAAGAGGTGATTTGATCCACATGAGGCCCTGTGGTACAGGCATATCAGCAAGGAGCAGCAAGAAAAGGGTTGAGCAAGCACGTACCGTGACACTCTTCTGATGGGCGTCCTTGTATGCCTCTGTGATCAGCTCGCCCAGCTTCTGCTTGCAGGAGGGGGAGAGGCACCACAGCAGTGACACACACGATGAGGGCCGATGATGCTCCACAGCTACTCCATCCGTGGCAGTGAATCAAGGCAGCTACATTTGCCGCAGCTACCATGCAAACATTCCAATTCATGGTGACCTTCTCCTATCCCAGCGCCCACGACTACCCTGCTCCCACGCCAGTGCTCTCACCTCTGCCCCGAGCTCCATAGCAGCATCGGTGATTTCACACCGGCATGGCTCCTGGTTGCCAGTCAGCGTCACCTGCAACGCATGCACGTCAGCATTCAAGCATGGGGAGCACTCGGGAAACGGAATGAGCAGTGTGATTGGGGAATTTGCGTCACGGAACTGGAGAACGGCCCACAACATGACTGGCATGGTCGTTCGTTCACAATAAATGGGTGACGAGCTCCGAAACTGGGGCGACAGAATTTGATGGCTCACAAAATATAGGACTTCATTGGTCATTCGTTTCAAAATGCCTCATATTCATCAAATTCCATAGGGTGCGTGTTCAAAATGCGCGAGAGGGCGGGCCAGTGCAGACGCACCTTTACGAGCTCGTCTTCGCAGTAGCCGTCGAACTCAGCCCTGCCATGGAGGGAGGATACAGAGCGAGAATGCAGCAACTTGCGGCGGATCCATGCCTACAGCACACCTCGACTGGCACACTTGTGTCTCGGACTCTCACGCTCCTATCACTTGGATAAATGTGAGGGCACAAATCACGGCGCAACACCGTAACTGCACTATGGACCACGTGAGAACAACGATGCACTACCAAAGGCTGAGTTGCGCTTGAGAGGCGCGGGGAGAGGAGGCGGGGGAGCGAGGGGGGCTTACGCGGCGAGTTCCTTCTGCACCTTGACGGCCTCCACCTGCACCACCTGCTGCGCCTTGCGCACCGTCTCGAACAGATTCGCCATGTTGCCGAACGGCCCCGCCTGCACCGCGCACGCACGCCCCACGCAAGTCAAAATGCATCCGCGGCCCTGAATCTCAGAAGCGTGCATAGCAGAAAACATGTAGCTCAGCAGTTGTTACATAGCCCTTACGTTTTTGGCGCCATCGGCGCTCAGATCGCCGTCCTTGCCGCCGCCGAATAGAGCCCTCGCGGGACCCACCCGTTGACCTGCAACCACGGCGGGACGGCGCAGGGCGACCAACGAATATGCTCACGCAGTTTGGACATCCGCACGGCATGACGAGTAGAGTGAAGGAAACAAAAAAGCCCCCAGGATTTGCGGACATCGATGCCTAGCCTGTCCTCACGAATCCGCGACGCGACTTACCGACTCGTGACCTCACGGTTGGCTGGATGTGAACGCGAGGAGCGGCGAGAAGAGACGCTCCGGAAGAGAGTGCGATAGAGGCGGCCATGGTGGAGGTGGTAAGTGCAGGGTGACTGAAGGTGAGGCGACTAGGAGAATGAGAAAAGATCTGCGATTGCGAGAAATGAATGCAGACAATCGGTAGCAAGTGAGTTTGGATGGATCACATAGTGAATGAAGGATTCCCCAAACGAGTGCCACATCAGAAGTGAGAACACACTCCGAGACACGTGGCTTCGTATCAAGGGTTACACTTGAGGATCCCAGAAATGCGTTACAGTGTCTTCGAAACAGGGATGGGAGAGCAATTCGTCGCAGATACACGCCCAAACTTTCACAGTAAATGAAATATGCAACAATTAGTGAACAACCATTTTCACGGAAATAGATGCGCATGCGAATATAAATATTGTAGAGGTGTAAAGACGGAAACAGTGGGTTTGCCATATCGAATATTCTAGCGGAGCACATGCTTCCACCAGGCCAAAGCCAACAAGCATGCCGGCAACAAGGAATATCGAGAATAAATATCTGACGCCTTTCAACCAACAGGAGCCCGCGACAAATATCTGAATTGACCTTTTGGCCCCGAAAGAGAAAAAGTTGCAGGTGCACGAGAACGGTACACGTACTGAGGCTACACGTCAGCCAACCAGAATGTCTATCGCTCATTGGTGAATTACTGGCGCGCTGTGCTGACGGAGTCACCTGTAACATCCTTCGAGGACGCGGCGGGCAGCAGATGTGGACAGCGCATGGAGCATCTCTCCATCTGATCCGTCCTCCTTGCCATTTATCTGCCCGCCGATGATGAGATACAAGGAAGTTTGAATTCTAGGTCTCCTTGGAGTTGCCGCTTGATTCAAGTTCTGAATTTCTCCGCGCTGCACCTTGCTAGACTAGGGTTTGGTGTAGGCTGGGAGGAAAAGCATCGCCATTTCACTTAGTCGACCCGCAAGCGACAGTACTATGTGTTCGCTCCTACACGATTAAGTTGAAGGTTCTATTACGATTGATATCTTGGCGCCTGTGCATTTCATGTTGCGACCGTCGTTGAGAGTCTAAGCGCGCAGTGTCGCATTTTGATGCTATGTACCTTGATTGCAATTTGATGTTATATTATGTAGTTCCAGATTCCAATGGAAGACATTAGAGGTCTTGTGTTGGGCCAGCAGCATGGCGTGATCCCGGAAGGCCGTCAGCACAAGCAGCAACAGCAGCAGCAGCAGACAGCGAGTATCGATGGCGTGCGACAGCTAGGGTGGCAAAACAATGAGTTAGGGCTGCTCCAGCAGCAGCAGGCTCGCATGCACCAGCAACTCTTGATTCAGCATCAGCAGCAGTGGTGGCAGCAACGACAGCAGCAGCAGTTCCTTTTGCAACAACAATCCCTGCAGTGCGAACGACAGGAATTTCAGCTCCAGCAGCTGAGGTCGCAACTATGGCAGCAGCAGCAGCAGCAGCAGCAGCAGCAGCAGCAGCAGCAGCAGCAGCAGCAGCAGCAGCAGCAGCAGCAGCATCAACAACAACAGCAGCAGCGGCAGCAGCAGCAGTCCCAGCAGCCACAATTGCAACACCAGCAACAGCAGCAGCAGCTTCGGCAGCAATCGCAGCAGCCACAGCAGAAGCTAGAGCAGCCGCAGCAGCAGCACCAACAGCCAGAGCAGACGGAGCAGCAAGAGCAGCAGAAGCAGCAAGAGCAGCAGAATTCATGGAAATGGCAGCAGCAGCAGCAGCAGCAGCAGCAGCGTGTGGAGTACAAGCAGTTTCAGGAGCAGCAGTGGCAGCAGTTGGCTCAACTGCATGAGCGGCAGCAGAAGGAGCTCTTCCAGCACCAGCAGCAGCACTCGCAGCTCCTCCAGCAGCAACAGCAGCAGCAACAACAGCAGCAGCAAAGCGTATCGGAACGTGTCGTCATGGACGGCACGCGGGCGTCACCGTCTCCTCATATGACGCTCCAGGCATCCAGTCACACTCGTTTGTCTCTCCCACAATCGCCACAGCCGCAATCGCAACAGCAGCAGCAGCAGTGGCAGCAGCAGCAGCAGCAGCAGACGCAGCAGCAGCGGCAGACGCAGCAGCAGACACAGCAGCAGCAGCAGCAGCAACAGCAGCAGCAGCAGCAGCAGCAGCAGCAGCAGCAGCAGCAGCAGCAGCAGCAACAGCAGCAACGGCAGCAGCAGCAGCAGACGCAGCAGCAGCAGCAGACGCAGCAGCAGCAGCTACGCGCAGAGTATACAGCGGAGGCACAGCCCGCGCACCTCACGCTGCGCTCGCCGTTCCTTCCGTCCGCGTCCGCTCCCGCCGTCGCCCATCGGCCGCACCGTGTGTGCGACGCGTGTTCGTGCCAGCCCGCGGTGCTCTACTGCGCCGCGGACGACGCGTACGTCTGCGAGCCCTGCGACGTCTTCGTGCACTCCGCCAATCCGCTCTCGCAGCGCCATGAGCGCGTGCGCTTGGGGCCCAACGGCGCGCCGCTTAAGATAGATCGCAGAGGCGCGGGGTTGTCTTCCGATGCGGCCGGCAGTCTTCCGCGCGCCGTTGCGGGGAGAGTGCTGCGCGGAGAGTTGGCGCAGAGCCTGCTTCCGCGCGCAGACGAGTCTGGGGTTCGGGGCGCGGCGGCGACGTGCAGTGACGCGGAGGAGGGTGTGGCGGGGAGCGTGGCGGGGCCGACGGCGGGCGCGATCGGCGCGGAGAGCGCGCAGAGCGGACTGCCCTCCAGCATGTCCGGCACGAGCTCGTCGTCGCACCCGCCCGACCCCCGCTGTCCCTCCCGCGCGCACCGCCCGCCCGACACCAACTGCACAGCTCAAGGCGGGGTTGCTGTCGCGCGCGCGGGTGACGCGAGGAGGGGAGCAGGTAGAGGGGGGAGAGCGGCGGATAAGGTGGACGTTGCAGGGGGGAGCGCGGGGGGCAGGCTGCAAGGGGCGAGTGCAGGCGGGGTGGCGTGCAGCGTGTTGCGGTGGAAGGTGCGGGAGGGCGCCGCCGCCATGCATGCGCCGCAGGACCACCACCCGCAGCAGCAGCAGTCCACGCCGCAGAGCAGACCGGCCGCGTCACCTGCACCTGCGCATGACGCAGCGCCCAAGGCAACAGCTGGCTCTGTGCGCCTATCACCAGCGTCCACGTGGTCGTTTGCCCCCTCTCCATGTCACACCAACGAGTCCCTGCAGGGTGCCTCGCCGTGGGCCAAGGCCGCAGCCGGCGCGGCGCATTCCCCCCTCTCCGCGCCCGCGGGGTTGTGCGCCAAATCACATCTGCTGCGCGCGCCCGCGAGCCCGTTCACTCCCCCCAGCCCCTATGCAGGCTGCCTGCTCTCGCTGCCCGGCGCGCCAGGCGGGAAGGCGCACGCGCCTCGATCTCTCCAGTCGCCCCGCACTGCTCCTCCTGCACCCGCATCCGCACCCGCACCCGCTCTCGCACCCGCATCCGCATCCGCATCCGCGGCCGGCGGACGGGGCGTGGAAGCACGCGACGGGCGAGACACGGCGAGGGGTGCCGTGCGGGCGGGAGGAGAGGCGAGGGGAGCGGAGGAGGTGCAGGGGGGCGGGGGGAGGGAGGAGAGGGAAGGAGGCGCGGAGATAGCGGCGGGATGGATGGACGAGCGGGTGGCGCAGGTGTGCGGGGAGGAGGAGGCGGGGGAGGCGGGGCGACTGGGCAGCAGCAGCGGGTTCGAGGAGTTCGAGGACATGATGAGCGGCATGGGGGGCGCGGCGGGCGCGGCGGGCGCGTCGGGCATGGCGGGCATGGCGGGGCTGGACGACATCGACGAGGACGACCAGTTCGCGCGCGACCTCGCGCTCTGCATGACCCCGCGCGCGGCCCCGCCGCCCTCCGCCACACCTCCCGCCGCTTGCCCCCCGTCGTCCCCTCGCCTGGCGAGGCTGCAAACTGCTGCTGCGGCGCAGCAGGCCCATCCCAACCATGCCAGCTACTTCACCCCCCCGTCTGCCACTTCAGCCGCCGCTGCCTCGGGCGCTGGTGCTTCCCCATGCGGCGAGTCCCCCCACGCGTCAGTGGCGGCGGCAGCGGTGCAGCCCGCGGCGGCGGTCCATGCGTCGCGCACCCACGCGCTGCCCCCTGACGGCCCCGGGCTGCCCGCGCGCCCCGCGAAGCGACAGCACCTGCGGGGACTGGGGTTTGGTTGGGCAGCAGGTTTGGTTGCAGGCTCAGGTGCAGGTATGAGTGTAGGTGCACAGGGAGGGCAGGGAGCTGGGAGTGCAGCGGGAGCGACAGACGGGGTGAGAAGCACAGCAGAGGGGGGAGGGCTGGCCAGTATTGCGGACGGCGGGGGGGCGCGCGTGGAGGCGGGAGGAGGAGGTGGGGTGAAGCGTGAGGCATGGGTGGGCATGGGTCCAGTGGCAGCACGACAGGGCGTGCAGGGCGTGGGGATGGCGGGCATGCGTGGGCACGCACAGCAGCACATGCACCTTCCCATGCACCCCCAGGGCCTGTCACCCTGCGCATCGCTGGACCGCTGCAACCCTGCGTCCCCCACCGCCGCTGCTGCGAGCATGTCCGTCAGCCACGCCCCTGCCAGCAGCTTCCTCAACTCCTCCGCTGCTGCTGCTGGCAGCGCCGTGGCATCCGCAGCAGCGCTGTCAGATTCCGCCATGGACGCGCGCGCCCCCGCCTCTGCCTCCGCCTCCGCGTCCGCCACCCACTCACACTCCCACTCGCTCTCGCTCTCCGATGGCCAGCAGCACCACCAGGGGCACGCGCAACCCCTGCAGCAGCGCACGGCAGCAGGGGGTGGGAGCCCGGCGGAGAGAGCTGCAGAGCGGTGGGAGGGCAGTGAGGGCAGGAGGGCGCGGGAGCGGAATGGGAAGGTGGGTGCGTGCGGGGGTGAAGCCGGGGGGCGGTCATCAGGGGAGGCGGAGGGGGGCGTGGAGGAGGCGGAGGAGGTGGTGATGGAGGAGGGCGCCGTGGAGGCTCAGCTCAAGGGCGTCGCCTCGCACCTCACCCTGCTCGCCGCACACCCTCACTGCCCTCCCGCACACCAACCCCAGGGGGAGAACGTGCGGGGCAGCAAGGAGGGTGCGGACAGGCGTGCAGCAGCGATGCGAGGCGTGCTGGGTAGTTTGGGGGAGAGGGGTGCGGGCGGGCGGTGGTATCCGGCGCTGCACCTCAACTATGCTGACATCATCACTGCCTGGTCGCATAACGGCCTCCAGGCATCGCCCTGGCTGGACGACAACCCCCCCTCGCTCGCCCTCCACGCGCAGCCCTCTGTGTGCTCCGACCCCCAGGTCCGTTCCCTTCCCTGCACCCCTGCTGCTTCCCACCTGCTTCTCTCCTGCTGCTTGTTGCAGCAGACCATATGAGTTGTCATGTGTTTACTCTGCTTACCAGCAGTCACGCCCCATCCTCATTGTGACCTCACGCTGTGTCTCCCCACGCCCCTTTCACTCTGCCCGCCTCCCCCCTCCCAGCCACTGCAGGCGGCCATGACCCCACACTCGGTGATCAGCACGGGGCGAGAGGAGGGACCGGAGGGCGAGGTGGGCGAGTCGGGGGTGAGCCGCGTGGCGTCGGTGCCGCACGGGCTGGACCGCGTGTGCAGCGACCTGCTGCTCGAGGACGGGCACCTGGACGGGCACATTGACGGGCAGGTAGAGGGGCAGGTGGAGGGGTATGTGGAGGGCCGGGAGGCGCGGGTGCTGCGGTACCGGGAGAAGCGGCGCAACCGGCTCTTCTCCAAGACCATCCGCTACCAAGTGCGCAAAGTCAACGCCGACCGCCGCCCGCGCGTCAAGGTGTGCTCTTGGGGGAGGGGATGGGGTTTGAAGGCTGTTGCGGTTGGCTTTCATGGCTTGTGTTAGATTTGGAAGGCCACTTTTGGCCAACTAATGTCCTTTCTCTCCCCTCCCCCCTTTCCATGCAGGGACGATTTGTGAAGCGAGACTTGTGAATGCACGTTGCGTTGTAGGGCCCTGTTATCCCACTGCCTATGGGTTCTTATTGCTACTTTGTGGTTGTGTCATACTTTGGTTTGTGTCTACTAGACTGGATTGAGCTCAATGCATTAGTTGAGTGTACATTCTAGGATCTAGGGAGGTGCCAGAGTATCTTGCTTTTGATGTGTTTGTTTGGATTTACATAACATTGTAAATTATGCTTGATTTACTAGGGAGTGCAGTACGGTAGCGCGAAAGAACCCGCCACATCTGCCGTGTCCACCAGCGGTCAGGAATGAGTCACCAACTCTCCGCGTCGGTGGGGTGGGAGTGAGCGAGGAACGGGGGACAAAGTGCACGATGGAACACGGCACAGCGCCGTCCACCTCCTGCCACAACACAACACCGCATCGCGATTAATGACCTACTAGTTGAACCATCGCTCGTGACCTGTTGTTCGAGCTTTCAGCGCCACGCCGTGACTGCGTCTGTGAGCGCGTGAGCCTTCACCATGCCGCTGCGGGGAGGGCGTCAGGCCTTGTCGATTAGTTCTCAAGCCGGCCCTTCAAGCCAGCCCGCTGCGCATCACGACTGACCGTCGCTGCCCTCTGCACGACGTGCCTCGTCGCATTGGTCGCACTCTCGCCGTCGTCGCATAGTCTCCCTCGTTTCATCGCGTGCCTCGTCGTTTGTCGCGCGGCGACGGCACGGCGGCATGGCGGAGTTCAACATGAGCGCGTGCGTGGCGGCGTGCGCGTCGCTACAGCCGTGCCTCGATACCTGCTACGTCTACAACGGCTGGCTCGCACCGCCCTCGCTGTCGCAAACCATCGCGTTCTCCGTCGCAGGTGCGTCGCCAGCGTGCGTGGATCGCGAGCACGCGACGTCTGCCCGGCCGTCGGCCGTCCGCCAGTGTTGTCGCCTGCCTCTCGTGTCTCCAACTCCCCTCCGCCATTCCCCCCACACCCCCCTCTCCCTCCCCAACCCCCTGTTTCTCGGTGTGGCGGTACGGCAGGCGGGGCGGGCGTGGGGGTGGCGGCGCTGGTGGCGTGTGTCATGGCCAGCACGCTCGCGCTCGACCTGCCCTCGCTGCAGGTGAGACCTGCCCTCGCTGCAGGTGCGCCATTCCCACTCCATTTCTGCCGGCGCACCTCCGTGCCTCTTCCTGCCTGCTCCCTTTCCAACACATTCTCCTCTCTGCGCCTCTCTCTGCGCCCCTCTCTCCGCAACCCCCCACGTGCAGGCGCTGGCAGCGAGTGCGGACAAGGCGGAGCGCAGAAAGGTGCGCCCCCTCCGCCCTCGCTGCTCCATCCGCTTCCTTGTGCCGTCCATTACATCCCTCATCGCCCATCACATCCCTCATCGTCCCCCATTGGCTTCACTTGCTTGCTTTGCCGCTCGGCATGCATGTCCCCGTGTCCTACCCTTTCACTCCTCTCTCTCACGCCCTGTCTACTCCCCTCGCGCCTCTCATTCCTCGCCCCGCGGGGCCCATGGACGGGTGGATGGCAGGCGAGGGCGGTGCTGCGGGTGAGGCGCCATGGCAACCTGCTGCTGGCGGCTCTGCTGCTCGCCAGCTGCCTCGCCTCCACCCTGGCTGCCGCTGCCTTCACCGGTAAGCCTCCCCCCTTACCCCCGCCGCCACTGCTGTGAGCATCCCCCTCCTGCCAGAAGGTGCCGAGGCACTGCGAGGAGCGCGCCCCTCCCTGGAGCTGGTGGAAATGCTGCCCTGGGCTGCATGGATTCTCACACCCACCGTACTGCACGTGGGCGCACCCCATCACAGCATGCCTCTCACTCCTTTGCTCCCTACCATTCTTCCCCACGGGCCTGTGTGGGCATGGCATGGCGGGGCGTGCAGAGGTGCTGGGCGTGTGGTGGGGGTGGCTGTGCGCATTCTCGCTGCTCTTCCTCGCCGTTGAGCTCCTGCCGCCCGCCCTCTGCACCAACCGGTATGCCCCTCCTCCTTGCACTCGTTCAACCTCACTTCTCTTCTCACACTCGCTACTCGCCACTCGCCCCTCCCATGCGCTCGCTCATACGAGCCACGTCAGCAGCTGAGAGTTACGCCTCCTCCCAACTCCCACACCCCTCTTCATCCCCTCCTTCCCCTTTATCCGTTGCTCCCACCTCCCCTTCCCCCTCCACCTCCTCCACCTCTCGCTCGCCCCCCGCCCCCCAGGAGTCTGCAGGTGGCGGGGGCGACGGCGTGGGTGGGGGGCGTGGCGGTGGTGGCGCTGTTCCCCCTGGCGTGGCCCGTGGGGCTGCTGCTCGACTGCCTCGTCTCGCGCTCCGCCCTCTCCCCCGCTGACGATGACGGCCCCGTGGTCAGTCGGGGGTGCAGGGGGGGTGATGGAGGGAGGACGGAGGTTAGGGGGAAGGATTGGGGAGGATGGGAGCCATGGGGTAGGGGGCATGGGTTGGGTTAGGGGGAGCGGGATGGGGGCATGGGATGGATACGGCCATGCACGCACAATGCTTGCTGCAACCACCACTCACCTCGTGTCTCCTCCCCTCTCCCCCCTTCCTCGCGCTGCTGCGTGACCGCCCCTCTTCCCCGCGGCTTGATCTCCCAGAAGTGCCGCTTGGCGCCCGACCCTCTGCAACAGGGGGAGCAGGAGCAGGAGCAGGAGCAGGAGCAGGAGAGTGAGGGCGAGGGTGATGCATGCAAGCCGTTCGCTGCACGTGCTGGCAAAGGGGATTGCGAGGAGGAGTGGAGTGGTGAGGAGGAGTGGGGCGGGGGGAAGGAATGGAAAACAAGAGAGGAGGAAGGGGAGGTAGGAGGGGGAGGGTGGGAGGAGGAAGAGAGGGATGGTGGCGGCGACAAGGAGGCGTGCAGGCGTGGGGCGCGGGGACCCGAGGGGGGTGGGCAGCAAGGGGAGGGCGGGGTAGCATTGTACGGTGGGAGCGTGATGGAGAGTGGGGGGGGCGAGGGGAGCAGCGAGGGTGCAGCGGTGCAGATGGCGGTGCTGCCCTCGTCCTCGCATGCTGCAATGCCGCCACCACCTCCCCTCTCTCACGCCCATGCCACCCAGCACGTTGCCTCCTCCCACCCCACCCTTGCCTCCAACCCCCTCCCCAACACATGCCACACGCCCCCTGCTGGCTCTCCCCATGCGGCGCAGTCGCCCCCAGCGCCTCCCCCGTGGTTCCTGCAATCGTGGGAGCATGCGGCCGTATGGGCACGCCTTGCCGCCGTGCCTCCCACGCCTGCCGCCCCCACCTCACACCCACACCCCGCTGATGCTGCCCGTGCGCTTGACCCACCTGACTCGAGCGTGCGGGCAGGGAGTGGGGGGGGGAGAGCGCACGTTGCAGCAGTCAGAGATTACCACGCCACCCCGTCTGCCGCCCCTTCCACCGCCCCCCCAGCTGCCACCCTGCCAGGTGGCGTGCCGCCTCTCCCCCTGTCCTCCTCCACTCCCCTGTGGCGCCACCGACCCCCCCTGCCTGCTGCTGCTGCCTCTTCTTCCGGGCAACCCATGCCCCCCACTGACTCTAGTGCATCGGCTGATGCCCTCCGCCCCCCTCACTGACATCTATCTATTGAGCCCTGCCCCGCTCACTGACATGGATGGAACTCTCCACCACCTCCACTAACCTGGCCACACCCTCAAGCAAGCACCTCTTGCAAGCAGCGGCAGTAATCTCAGGGGCCAAGTACCGTACCGTACCTGCTGGGAGCACCTGATGCAAGCAGCAAGCACGCAGCAAGCACCAAGCAAGCACATGAAGCTTTTAGTTGAAATAACACGCAGGCAGCAGTTTCTTTAGCATTGTGTTGTGAGTGCCCACTGGTACTCGCTGGTATTGCCATAGCACCATGCAATGCAACAGTCAAGCTGCCATGCATGTATAATAATCACCAATATTTTCTTTGCTGGCGTTTTTAATCAGGCCTACCGTATGATTCCTCAAGTTGGCAATGTGCACAAGATTGCTTCAACTCAATGCAAGATAAGATGTCGTATGAGATTGCCACATTGCAAGACATGAGTGGAGCATGCTGAAAGAACAATTCCATCTATGTGGTCCTGCTGTAGGCGCTGTCCAGGGTGCCAACCAAAACCCCCACGCTCCAGCAGCATGACCATGTGGCCTCAGCACCACCAAAAGCCATGCCAGGGGAGCAACAAAGCGTGTCAGAGATGGGGTTTGAACCCATGCCTCTTTCGAGACCGCAACTTGAGTGCGGCGCCTTAGACCACTCGGCCACTCTGACACGTCCTATCATAAACAAAAATATATCAATATAATACTATTCTTAAATCACAACTAACGACGCGTGATCACGTCACTGGCGCAGCCATGGATAACCCCGAGCAGCGCGAGGCAAAGGCGGAGGATCAGGCAGCACAGCCACACGAGTCGTACTATCAGCAGCAACAGCATTATGGCCATGACGCTCACTCGTACGATCACCAACAGTACCACCAACACTACCAGCAGCAGCAGGCGCAAGCGGCGCAGGCGCACTACTACGGGTACGACCCGAGTCTCGCGCAGCATCACGCGCCCCCCCATTACCCGCACCACCAACCCCCTCACCACCCTTACGCTTATCCTCCCCAACCCTACCCTCCCTCCGTTTACAACCAACCAAATCCCTACCAGCCACCTCCCCAGCCCGCCTATCCACCGGCTCAGGACTCCGCCTTCCCCGCAAATTCCCCGCTTGCCGCCTTCTTCGATCCGCGCGAGCCTCCGCCAGCCGCGGTGGCGGCCCCGGCGAGCGAGGAGGTGCGCGGGCGCGTGGAAAAGGCCGTCGAGTACGCCGCGAAGAACGGGCCGCAGTTCGAGGCGCTCATGCGCGACAAGCAGCGCGGCCAACCCGCGTACGCCTTCCTCGAGGCGGGCGGGGAGGGCGCGGACTACTATCGCTTCCGCCTCTGGTGCGCGCTCTCTGGGTCGGGGGCCGCGGATGCGGTGGCTTGGACGGAGGGGAAGAGTGCAGCTGATGGGCAGGCGGAGCAAGCCGTGGGGAAGCAGGGGGAGGCGGACGGGGAGCACGGCAGCGCGGAAGTGAAGGTAGAGGGGGAGCAGGAGGGGGAGAAACAAGCAGTAGGGGGCGCGCCGGGCGCGCAGCAGGCGCAGACCGGCTCTGAGGCCCCTCCTGCGGTCCCTCTCCCCTCCGATTCCACCCCTCCCCTTCCCCCGGAGCCCCCGCTCCCCCCCATGCCCCCACCCCCCGCGGACCCTGCTGACGTGGCGCTGCAGGCGGCGGTGGCGGCGGCGGGGCTGCCGGCGGACGTGGGGGGCGAGGCGGTGGCGCTGCTGGCGGGGCTGAGCGGCACGAAGGAGGCCATCAAGGGCGGCAAGGCGTGGGTGGCGTGGCGCGCGGGCATGGGGTGGGCGCCGCACATCGCGTGGGTGCTGCGGGAGCGCATGGCGGCGCTGGCAGGGCAGCCGGAGCGGCAGCTGCATGTGATCTACCTCGTCAACGACGTGCTCTTCAACAGGTGTGTGGTCAACGACGTGCTCTTCAACAGGTGTGTGGTCAACGACGTGCTCTTCAACAGGTGTGCCCCACCTCGTCTCCCCTCCCCTCGCTGTCCCGTCTCACCGCACTCTCCACCTCACTCTCTCCACCTCACTCTCTCCACCTCACTCTCTCCACCTCACTCTCTCCACCTCACTCTCTCCACCTCACTCTCTCCACCTCACTCTCCCCACCTCACCCTCCCCACCCCCCACCAACCCCCCCTCGGACCGGGCAGTCTACAGCAGAGGCCACAGCCGGGGGCGGTGGACGCGGTGGCGGCGGCGCTGCAGCCGTGTTTGGGCTTCATGCTGGCGGCACTGTTCCACGGGGGGGGTGACGCGCAGAGCAGCAACCAGGAGCGGCTGGGGAAGATCCTGGCGTTCTGGGCCAGCAAGGAGGTGTACCCGGGGGAGGCCATGGCGCACCTGGGCGCGCTCATGCGCCTGCCGCCCCACCAGCACCCTCCCATGCCGCCCCCGCCACCTGTGCCTGCTATGGACTACCACGCTGCAGGCGAGTGGAGAGCGTGTGCTGTAGGGAAGGGAAGTGGCTGGCATGTGTGCGTTCTGCAAGTGGGAGCGGGAGTGACTTGTTTGGCGTGTGTGATCCAAGCTCTTTCTGGCTCGCACCCACATATATCCCTGCTCTCTTTCGCTTTGCTGACATTGTGCCCCCTTTCCTCTGCTCCTCTTCCCCTCTCCCACCCCCCATGCACTGCCATACCCATCAGCCACACAGCCGTATGCCCATGGCATGCACCCCCACGCCCCTCCCCCGCCCGCATGGCCCCCTCTTCCACCGCACATGCCGCCCATGCCTCACGATGCAGCAGCCCCTGCCTCTGCACCCGTGCCCGCCACCCCCCCTTCCTTTCCCCCGCCCCCTGCCCCCGCCACTCAACCCCCACACCAACCCTCGCCCGCACCAGTCCCCAGCGCCCCCCCTGAGCCGCAGCCCCCCACCCCAGACGCGCCGCCTGCGGCCCCCGCGCCCACGCCTGCGGAGAAGGCGCCGTACCCGCTGTTCCCGCCGGGGCTGATCCCGGGCATGGTGCGCAAGAAGCAGGTGGGGTCGGGCGTGCCGTACGCGCCCATGGCGCCGCACGACATCCCCTCCACCATCCCCCCGCCCCACGAGTCCGAGGAGTACCTGCGGCGCCGCATCGCACGCTTCTTCAAGGCCATTGGGGAGACGGACCCCCTGGCGGAGGGGGATGAGGACGAGGAGGAGGATGCGGAGGAGGCGGATGGCGGCCGGGGGATTCTTGGGGCGGGCATTGGGAAGAGAGGGCACGGGCATGGAGGGCATGGGGTGGGTGGCGGGGGGAAAAGGGGCCCAGGGGCGAAGCCACGCGCCATGTCACCGCCACCAGCGATTGGCATGGAGGGGGGCGGGCTGGGACTGGGCATGGGCGGGGGAGGGCTGGGACTGGGCATGGGGGGAGCGGGGATTGGAGTGGGCATGGAAGTTGATCCGGAGACTGGCATGTTGCCGGACGGCAGTGTGGTGCAGAAGCCTGGCATGGGCGGCGCGAGGCTGGGACTGGGTGCCGCCGTGGAAGCCGATGCTCCGTCGCAGTATGCCGACGTGTATTCGAGTTTCCGCCGCATGCTCAGCTCGTCCTACCATACCTCCATTAGTGAACGGGCTGCTAGGAAATACGAGAGATAGCAGCACGTAGTGTATGTTGATGTGAGATTGATAGCAGGATGTAAGCGCTGGAAATACTCATATTGACAATCTATGTTACATGCGTGATTTGAAGCGGCGATGATAGCCTCTCATCCACCTCGATAATTCCCACGGCCATCGGGGTTAGCCGAGCCGAGGTACATGCATCCGCGCCAGTCCGCAGCACCGCAAAGCAAGTCTCCCCGCCACGAGAGACCCATGTGGCCTTGAAAGTGGTCCGGGCGAAGCGGTGCCACGTGGGAGAGCGTCAGCCAGAACTCATCTTATCCGCCACTCCCCGCTCGGTGCTTCCGCCACTCTTCCCCATGGCGCCCACACCCACTCTGCGCGCATCTCAGTCCTTGCAATTCTACTGCACCATCCATTTCCAAGGGCTCTTCCTGCAGCCTGCTCCGATCGAACCACTCGTGCTGTTGCTGCGAGCAGTCAATCCGCTGCCACTGTCCCAAACGACCTTGGCAACTCCTGCACCTCTCGCTCGGTCGCTGCGCTGCCGCGTCTGACGGGAATCGCTAAGGTTGCTTTCAGCTAAACTTCACTCGAGCGCTGCAGACCAGCTCGAAAGGAAGGGCAATGGCGGCGCCTGCCAGCAATCCGTCGAACACGGTGACGAACATCTCGGAGTTCCAGTGCCTGGCCAAGGAGAAGCTGCCCAAGCAGGCGTACGACTACTACGCGTCGGGCGCCGAGGACCAATGGACGCTCGCCGAGAACCGCAACGCCTTCGAGCGCATCAGGTGCCGCCCCTCAGCCTCACGTCGCGGCTCCCTGTTAGGCCTGGCTGTTTGTTCCGTCGAATTCCCCTTCCGTTAAAAGCATGCCGAAACGAGCAACTGATGAGCTGATTCCGACGGCTGGCAGTGTTGATGATGCTAACGTTCATACTCCGGCTGTGCCGCCGTGCATGCCTGAACATGTCCCGACTGCAGGTTCCGGCCGCGGATTCTGATCGACGTGTCGAGCGTGGACACGACGACGAGCGTGCTGGGCCACCGCATCTCCATGCCCATCATGCTCGCGCCCACCGCCTTCCAGCGCATGGCGCACCCCGAAGGTGCGCGCCGCCCGCCGCTCCTCTCTCGCAATGTGATGTGGAAATTTTGTTCGTTTTGTCGCGTAGTGTAACAACCACGAAACGAACGCCACATCCGTCAGTGTGCAGCTGTTCACCTGTCATATCCGTTGCCCTGTCCTCCGCCGCCCTCTTCCTGCAGGCGAGCTCGCCACGGCCCGCGCGGCAGCTAAATTCGACACGGCCATGGTAAGCCGGAGCGATAGTAAGCTGGAACAATGGTATCTTGGAGGTAGCGCCGGAAATAATGGAAGCGCGATAGGTGCTTCGAGCAGCAGTGACGTGTAAATCCGTTGGTCCGCTTTGAAGGTGGAATTCACGTGCCGTGCAGTGCGGTGATGTGTAGAACGGGGCGCTGCCGGAAATGCGCAATTGCTAGTCTTCATCTTACCGCCACCAGTGTTCCCTGCCTCCTCTTCTCTATTTCACTCTTGCCTCTCTTTCCCCCCTCGTTTTCCTCTCCTGCGCCTGCTTCCCCTCCTCTCTCCCCCATTCCCCTCCCGTCGCCCATTTCACCGCGCTCCCTCCCCCTGGGGCGAGCAGGTGCTGTCGTCGTGGGCGACGAGCAGCGTGGAGGAGGTGGCGTCGGTGGGTCCGGGTCTGCGCTTCTTCCAGCTCTACGTGAGTGCCGCGCGCTCTACCTTCCGCCAGTAGCCGACAGGCAGTATTGTTTTCCGCATTGCGTTGCGCTGCCGCCTGCTTCGTCTCCAGCTTGCTCCTGCTGCTATGTGCCCCGCCATGGCTATGTGCCCCGCCATGGCTATGTGCCCCGCCATGGCTATGTGCCCCGCCATGGCTATGTGCCCCGCCATGGCTATGTGCCCCGCCATGGCTATGTGCCCCGCCATGGCTATGTGCCCCGCAACCTCCCGCCCCTCACACTCCCTCACCTCCCTCACCCCCTCCCCCCATGCCCCCCCCCAGGTGTACAAGGACCGGCAGGTGGTGGAGCAGCTGGTGCGGCGCGCGGAGCGGGCGGGGTTCAAGGCCATCGCGCTCACCGTCGACACGCCGCGCCTCGGCCGTCGCGAGGCCGACATAAAAAACAGGTGCGGCGCCCGTCCGCGCGCGCCAGCCGTGGCGCAGGTTGCTGGGTTGGCGACGAGGGGGTGGGGTGGGGGAATGTGATGGCTGGGGGACCGTGGGTGGAGGGATTCAAAAGCGCACCTAGAGAAGGGGTGTAGTGTTGACGCTGAAGTAACGAGTTACTGTGAGGCACTTTGAAAAGTCAACGATGCAAAGAGGAACTTGAAGCGGAAAAAGCAGCAAGGGCGAGGGCGTATTGTAGGAATTGTGGCTGCTGTTGGTCACTGTTTTCGTGGCATGGATTGGGGCCCATCGTGACTGACTCATGGCTTGGCATGGCGGTGGTGCGCGTGGCAGGTTCGTGCTGCCACCTCACCTCACTCTGAAGAACTTCGAAGGGCTGAACCTCGGCAGTATGGACAAGGTATGGCGGCATGGGAAGGCAGCATACAATCAGTTGCGTTGTGATAAAATGAGCCTCGTTGCGTTGTTGACCAGCACAGCACTGCCCGTTGTCCTTCACTCACTCCACGTTCTCTCTACCCTCTCCATCACTGCCTACCACCACGTGTCACGGCGGGCGCGCATCAGTCCCAGGAGTCGGGGCTGTCGTCGTACGTGGCGGGTCAGATCGACCGCTCGCTCAGCTGGAAGGTGACCTCTCCTGCTCTCAGCATGCCGTGTGCGTGCTGTGTGTGGGGTGCGTGGCGCGTGTGTGGTGTGTGCTGCTTGAATGTGGGTGTATGGGTGCCTGCTGTACGACCTTCTGTCAGTTGCCGCTGCGTGCTCCATTCTCCTCTTCTCTGCCAGACTCCAACCTCAACAATCCTTCCTTTCTTCCCTCCCACTCCCCATTCCCCCCCTCTTTCACCCCTTCTTTCCGCCACTTGTCTCCAATGATTGTGTGGTGCATGTGTGTGCCCGTGCACATTGCGTGCGCGTGTGTGAATGTGCATGTGTGCATGCGCATGTGTGGACGTACATGTGTGTGTGCGTTTGTGTGTGCATGCGCATGCATGTGCGGCCACAGGACATCGCATGGCTCAAGTCCATCACATCGCTGCCCATTCTCGTCAAGGGCGTCATCACAGCAGAGGATGGTGAGTCAAGGCCGTGATTACAGCAGAGGATGGTGAGTCAAGGCCGTGATTACAGCAGAGGATGGTGAGTCAAGGCCGTGATTACAGCAGAGGATGGTGAGTCAAGGCCGTGATTACAGCAGAGGATGGTGAGTCAAGGCCGTGATTACAGCAGAGGATGGTGAGTCAAGGCCGTGATTACAGCAGAGGATGGTGAGTCAAGGCCGTGATTACAGCAGAGGATGGTGAGTCAAGGCCGTGATTACAGCAGAGGATGGTGAGTCAAGGCCGTGATTGCAGCAGAGGATGGTGAGTCAAGGCCGTGATTACAGCAGAGGATGGTGAGTCAAGGCCGTGATTACAGCAGAGGATGGTGAGTCAAGGCCGTGATTACAGCAAAGGGTAGCTGATACTGCTCACAGCAAGTCACATCTGGTATCCCCATGTTGCTCCCTGCTGCACCTGCTCATCCTAACCCTTCTTCCACCCGTCCTTGTTCATCCCTCCCCCGGCGTGGTGCCTCGCAGCGGAAATATCGATAGAGTACGGGGCGGCGGGCATCATAGTGTCCAACCACGGCGCCCGCCAGCTGGACTACGTCTCCGCCACCATCTGTGCACTCGAGGAGGTGCGCCCCCCTGCCCTGCCACACACTCTCGCTCTGACTCCCACACGCATGCTCGCACCCACACCACACCCATTGCATCTATCCAGTACCCCACCTGTCTGCACTGCGTGTGGCAACATCTATGCCGTTCTGTCTGCATTGATTTCGTTCCCCTCGTGTTCGCCCCGTCGTCTGTCAAGTTCATGCTTGATGCTCCACACACTGCAAACACCCTCCCCACCATATCCCCCTCCCCACCATATCCCCTTCCCCACCATATCCCTCAGCACCACCTTCTCACCACCACCTCCCCTCCCCGTCCCTTCCCCCACCCCCCCCCTTCTTCCCCCCACCGAGTGCTGTGGCAGGTGGTGAAGGCAGCGCGAGGGCGGGTGCCGGTGTTTCTGGACGGTGGGGTGCGGCGCGGCACGGATGTGCTCAAAGCGCTTGCCCTTGGTGCCGCGGGTGTCTTCGTACGTTGCCCTCCCCTACCCCACATGCCACTGCCTCCTCAATGCCTTGCCCTTCAGTCGCTCGCAGCTGCATCCACATGTTGCCCCTACCTTGGTCTGTTCAGTGTTTGAGGGGCTGTTCTAGTCTCGTGCCATTCTCACTGTCTGGTACATGCCTGCCCTCCCATACCGTTCCTCTCCTGCCTCGCCTCTCATGCCTGCCTTCCATCCGCCCATGCCCATCCCCCCCCCCATGGCCCGTGGCCACCAGGTGGGGCGGCCGGTGCCATTCGCGCTGGCGGTGGACGGGCAGGCGGGGGTGGAGAAGCTGCTGGGCATCCTCAAGGACGAGTTTGAGCTCGCCCTCGCCCTCGCCGGCTGCACGCGTGTGGCGGACATCAAGCGCTGCCACGTGGAGACGGAGGAGGACCGCCTGCGCAAGGCCATCACCTCCCGCCTCTGATCCCATCCCAACGCTCCCACTCCCTCTTCACCAACCCACTTGTCCCTTTGCCATTTTTTGGTGTGCCTTATTCTTGCTCGTGAAGAGCATAGCTTATTGAATGTATAATTGCATATCATTTGTAATGGTTGCCCACTGGGTTCAGTAAATGTCCTGCAAAGCTACGGTACCCTAAAGAACATGCTGCTCTTCACTTGTCACACAGAACGCTAGTTTTGCAATGTATGCTGTTTTAAGCTCCTCCCACTCCGAAGCACCACATTACACCGCTTCTCCAGCACGACCTGTGCCATTGCCGTTCCAAATTCTTCGCTTTGACACACACTCGGAGCGCCTCAGTGGCGCATTCACTGACGCTGCTGAGAATACAGCGCGCGCAGATTGCTCGTCGCGCGCGCATTGTTCAGCGCAGCGCACGGAGGTCGCTAGGAGCGCTAATCTTCGAAGATGGTCGTCCCACCAGCGCCTTGACCCTCCGCGCCTTGACCCTCCGCGCCTTGACCCTCCGCGCCTTGACCCTCCGCACACCTTCCACTCCCTCGCGCACACCGCCACAACATTTTACCCCTCACGCTGTCACCGGTTTCCCTCGCGGCGATGGCGGCGGAGTGGCCGCTACTGGCGGAGGAGGAGGAGGATGAGGCGGAGGTGGCGCGGGCGTGGCGCGCCGTGGAGGCGGTGCGCGTGACGGCGGACGTGGCGGCGGCGGCGCGGCACCTGATGGCGCTGCTGCGGCGAGTGCAGGCGCACGGCGGGCTGTGCGACGAGGGGCCCGCCCTCGATACCGCCATCCGCAGGCGCGCCATGCCCGCCCCTCATACTGCCCGCCCCTCATACTGCGCGCCCCTCATACTGCCCGCCCCTCATCCCCTTTCAGCAAAGTGTGCCCTCCGCTGAATGTGCGTTGCCGTGCCCCTCTGCGTCGCATCGCCTTGCCCCGCTGCGTCGCTCCCTGCTCTCATCCTCTGCGTGCCACGTCCCCCCCACGTGCGCCCCTCCCCCCACGGGAGCAGGTACGAGCGGTGCTGGCTGCAGCTGGCTGGGCGGCTGAGTGACGACGAAATGTGCCGCCTGCTGCCGCCCATTGACGTGGAATGGGTTTGGCTCTGCCACCGCCTCAACCCCGTATGTTCTTGAGTTGCTTGGCTGCCCATGCTGCCCGTTCCGCCTGTGCTGCCTGTGCTGCCCGTGCTGCCCGTGCTGCCATGCAGCCGCGCTACTCCTGGACTGACTGAATGCTGCTGCAGGTGATGCGAAGTTCCCGATCGGCCTGATGTGTTGCCATGTGCTCTCTATCATCCCCCCCTTTACTCCCACCCTTCACTGCATCGCATGAATCTGCTTGCCACTGCCTTCCCATCCCACTGCCTTCCCATCCCACTGCCTTCCCATCCCACTGCCTTCCCATCCCACTGCCTTCCCATCCCACTGCCTTCCCATCCCACTGCCTTCCCATCCCACTGCCTTCCCATCCCACTGCCTTCCCATCCCACTGCCTTCCCATCCCACTGCCTTCCCATCCCACTGCCTTCCCATCCCACTGCCTTCCCATCCCACTGCCTTCCCATCCCACTGCCTTCCCATCCCACTGCCTTCCCATCCCACTGCCTTCCCATCCCACTGCCTTCCCATCCCACTGCCAAACATGTGCAGTACCTTGCCTGTGTTTCTCGCCCTGCCTCCCTGAACACCTCACTACACGCTCTTCTTCGCATGTGTGTGTTTGTGTGTGTGTGTGTGTGTGTATGTGTGTGCGTGTGCGTGCACGTGCTCACGTGTGTGTGTGTGCGTGTGCATTTACAACGCATGAATGGGCGATGGGAGCAGGAGGCGTATGGCAGGGAGTGCGAGGCCAGGGTGGGGCGAGTGGTGGAGCAAGCAGTGTTTGACACCAGTGAGTGTGACCCCTCTCATCTCCCTGCTACCAATCATGCTGCCTGCAGCAGCAGCAGCAGCAGCAGCAGCAGCAGCGGGGACGGGAGGGAGGCAGCAGAGGCAGCGACGCGGCGGGTGTGGGACAGGCTGTTCCCTCACGAGCCCTACGACCTGTTCGAGCCTCGCAGAGCCGGCAGCTCACAGCACGGCGGGGGGGTTGGCGATGCTGACGATGACGGTGCGAGGGAGAGCACGCAGTGCGGGCGGGGGAATGAAGACAGAGGGGAGGCGCAAGGGGGGCCGGCGGGGGAAGAGAGGGGGAGCTTCGGGGAGGGCCCTCGGTGTTGCAATTTTGGCGCAGGAGCAAGGTGCAGCCTAGCATGCGTGGAGGGGCGGAGAGGCGAGGGGAGGGGCGCGGAGTCTCGTGGTGAGCCTGCAGGCGCGTCAGAGGGCTCTCTGAGAGGCAGCAGGACGGCAGAGGCCTCCAGAGAACCGGGCGCGGTGGATTTGCTGGCAGGCGCAGGGGTGGAAAGCAGAGAGGCGGCAGAGGGTGCAGGAGAGGGGCAGCACGTGCAGTACGACCTGAGGGCTGCTGTGCTGCAACAGAGAGGGCTCTTCCTCGAGGTGAGGGGCGCTCACTCGTGATACGAGAGAAGGGTGGTGCCGTGTGCTGTGAGAGGTGGTGCTGCGGTGAACGAGAACTCATGCTGCCTCACCTGACAGTTGCCCTCCTCTCACTTGTCTCCATCCCAACCCATTTCCGCATGTTGCATGATCAATGGTGCATGGTGCGTGGTGCATGGGGCATGGGTCATGTGTGGTGGTGGCAGGTGGACCGGCCGTGGATGGTGCAAACGGCATACCTGAGGGGGTCAGTGCAGCGCTACCGCATGTTCCTCTGCCTCTTCAAGTCCAACCCAGCGACACCCCTCACACCCACCTGTGACATCGACCTCATCTGGCATGCCCACATGGTAACATGCGCACATGATAGCACGCTGACATGGTAGCATACTAGCATGCCCACATCGTAGCATGTGCACATGGTAACAAACGCACATGATAGCACGCTGACATGGTAGCATACTAGCATGCCCACATGGTAGCATGTGCACATGGTAACAAACGCACATGATAGCACGCTGACATGGTAGCATACTAGCATGCCCACATGGTAGCATGTGCACATGGTAACAAACGCACATGATAGCACGCTGACATGGTAGCATACTAGCATGCCCACATGGTAGCATGTGCACATGGTAACAAACGCACATGATAGCACGCTGACATGGTAGCATACTAGCATGCCCACATGGTAGCATGTGCACATGGTAACAAACGCACATGATAGCACGCTGACATGGTAGCATACTAGCATGCCCACATGGTAGCATGTGCACATGGTACCAAACGCACATGATAGCACGCTGACATGGTAGCATACTAGCATGCGCACATGGTAGCATGTGCACATGGTAACAAACGCACATGATAGCACGCTGACATGGTAGCATACTAGCATGCCCACATGGTAGCATGTGCACATGGTAACAAACGCACATGATAGCACGCTGACATGGTAGCATACTAGCATGCCCACATGGTAGCATGTGCACATGGTAACAAACGCACATGATAGCACGCTGACATGGTAGCATACTAGCATGCCCACATGGTAGCATGTGCACATGGTAACAAACGCACATGATAGCACGCTGACATGGTAGCATACTAGCATGCCCACATGGTAGCATGTGCACATGGTAACAAACGCACATGATAGCACGCTGACATGGTAGCACACTGACATGGTAGCATACTAGCATGCGCACATGGTAGCATGTGCACATGGTAACAAACGCACATGATAGCACGCTGACATGGTAGCATACTAGCATGCGCACATGGTAGCATGTGCACATGGTAACAAACGCACATGATAGCACGCTGACATGGTAGCATACTAGCATGCGCACATGGTAGCATGTGCACATGGTAACAAACGCACATGATAGCACGCTGACATGGTAGCATACTAGCATGCGCACATGGTAGCATGTGCACATGGTAACAAACGCACATGATAGCACGCTGACATGGTAGCATACTAGCATGCACACATGGTAGCATGCGCACATGGTAACAAACGCACATGTTAGCACGCTGACATGGTAGCATACTAGCATGCGCACATGGTAGCATGTGCACATGGTAACAAACGCACATGATAGCACGCTGACATGGTAGCATACTAGCATGCGCACATGGTAGCATGTGCACATGGTAACAAACGCACATGATAGCACGCTGACATGGTAGCACACTGACATGGTAGCATACTAGCATGCGCACATGGTAGCATGTGCACATGGTAACAAACGCACATGATAGCACGCTGACATGGTAGCATACTAGCATGCACACATGGTAGCATGTGCACATGGTAACAAACGCACATGATAGCACGCTGACATGGTAGCATACTAGCATGCGCACATGGTAGCATGTGCACATGGTAACAAACGCACATGATAGCATGCTGACATGGTAGCATACTAGCATGCGCACATGGTAGCATGTGCACATGGTAACAAACGCACATGATAGCACGCTGACATGGTAGCATACTAGCATGCGCACATGGTAGCATGCGCACATGGTAACAAACGCACATGTTAGTACGCTGACATGGTAGCATACTAGCATGCGCACATGGTAGCATGTGCACATGGTAACAAACGCACATGTTAGCACGCCTACATGGTAGCATACTAGCATGTGCACATTGTAGCATGCGCACATGGTAGCATGCGCACATGGAACATATCCTGGTAGCTTGCATTGCATGGAGTCATGACATGCACACATGCTCATGACCCCTGCTCTGGCCTCACCACCTCTCCTCTCACCTCATCCTCGCTGCTGCGCTGCCCACTCCCTCCCCCCTCCCCTGCCCCCCTGCTTCCCCCCCCATCGGCACAGATGTGTGCACGTGCCTACGCCACGGACTGCCACCACCTGGTGGGTCGCCTCATCGCGCACCACGACTCCCTCTCGCCCACACCCGCCCTCGCGCCCTCCGCCCTGGCCTGCTCGCCGTGCGACCTGGCGGGCCCGCGCTCACCGGGGCCACGGCATCTGGAGGCGGCGCACAGGGCCACGGCGCTGCTGTGGGAGCGCACCTTCGCCGTGCCCTTTGCGCGCGCAGGGGCCGTGCCCCCTGCTCACGCAAGCTCCCTGCCACCGGCTATGCGCATGGGCGGGGCAGCTGTGGGCCACGAGCAGCAGGCAACGGCAGAGGGGGCAGGCGAGCAGGAGGGCTCATGGGCATGCAACCAGTGCCGTTCAGACACTGCCGCAGGGGCAGACGTGGAGAGGCAGCAGCAGCGCCAGCACACGGAGCAGCAGTTGAGGAGTAGCAAGAAAGCAGATGCGGACAAGGAGAGTGTGGGAAGCGGGGGCACAGGCGAGCAGGGGGAAAAGGTGCGGCGCATGGCAGTGGCGGGGTGTGTGAGTGCGGGTGAGGCGAATGCAGGGCTGGGGCTGTGGCAGCGCAGCACAGTGGACGTGGAGGTGACCGTGTGGACCGTGAGAGGGCTGCTGCTGCCCGCCCCTGACTGCCTCTCCGTCTCCCTCTCCGCCCTCCATGCCGCCCCTGCCTTCTCCGCCCGCACGCCCGCGCTGCCCTTCCATCCGGCAGCCCCCCCACCGCGCTGGCGCCACGGCTTCTCAGTGCAGGCGGAGGTGGCCTCAGAGGGGCTGCGGCTGAGCCTGCACGCCCACTCGCCGTCGCTGCTCTCCTCACTGCTGCCCTGGCTGCTGCCCCCCGCACCCCGCGAGCTGGGGTCAGCGGTGCTCACGTGGCACCGCCTGCTGCAGCACCCCTCGCTGCTGCTCCACTGCCTGCTGCCCCTCGCCCCCCCAGGCTGCACCCCCGCTGCCTATGCCGCTGCCACAGCCCCTCTCACTGCAGCCAGCACAGCCGCCACAGGGAGCAGTGGCTTGGTGGCGAGGGCAGCAGAAGAGGGGGGCGTGGAGAGGGTGGGTGGGGCCGGAGGCAGGGCAGAGGGCAGTGTGGGATGTCCGGCGGGGCAGGCAGGGCTGCAGGTGGGTGTGTCTCTGACCCCTGCCACGGCAGCGCCCTTCCTGCTGCGCGCCGTGCCTGTGTGCACCTCTGATGACCGCGGGGCCATGCTCTGTGCCTCCCTGGCTCAGCACCGCCCTCAGGTGAAAACAACAGAGGGGCTAGCGGGCTGGGAGGCCGAAGGGAGACGACCATGAGACTGTCCTGATGCCTTCGCTGTGGTTGTAAGAGTTCTTATGTGCATGAATCCTGTGCGTATGCATGTGTGTGGTTTTGCTTGCAACTATGCATGTGTGCGCATGGCTTGCATGAGTGTGGAGAGCAGGCGGGGCGGTGGGTGTCGCGCACGGTGCTGGACCACAGGGGCGTGGAGGCGTTTGTCATGCGCACCAGGTGGGAGGCGTTTGTGATGCGCACCAGGTGGGAGGCGTTTGTGATGCGCACCAGGTGGGGGCAAAGCAGATGAAGGCAAGTGCGTGCATGTCACTGGCGCTGCACGTTGATGTCTGCCTTTCTCCATGCTCGCCCCACACCACTCCTTTCTCCATGCTCGCCCCACACCACTCCTTTCTCCATGCTCGCCCCACACCACTCCTTTCCCTTGCTCTCCTACTCCGTGCCTCCTCTCTTACACCACACTAGTCCATCCCCACTCATCCATTTCTCTTTGTCTTCCCCTGCCCCCCACCCCCCACCTCTTTCTGACTTTGTCTGTTGCCCGGCACCACTTCTTCCCCACTCCCTGGAGCCGTGGAGCAGAGTGGCAGAGGGAGTGTGGGAGGACCACAAGCGCCCAAAGCCAGTTCAGCCAACGGAACGGACAATTGTGCTGCATCAGGTGATTGCATCGGGTGCTTGAAACAGGTGATTGCATCAGATGATTGCGTCAGGTGATTGCTTCAGGTGATTTGATGAGCTGATGACATCAGGTGGTTACATCAGGTGGTGGCATCAATTGATGGCATCTGATAGCAGCACCAGGTGGCTGCTGCATCAGCACCTTGTGCCAATCACTCTGCTTGTGCCACACCATTCTTTCAGCCTGTGCCATCTCCGCCCTTACCTTGCTTCGTTCCACTTCCCTTCCCCTCCCACCTTTCCCACCCTACTACTTTCTTGTCATGGCGTCTCCCCTCACTCCCCCACCCCTCCAACGGAGCGGTGGAGCAGGGGGGTTGGAGCTATGTGCCCACGGACGCCACGCCCTTGCCCCTCACCGCCCCCCTGCATGAGCGCGTGGGGGTGTGCCGCGGTCCAGTGCTGGCGCAGGCTGTGCCTCGAGGCGGGGGAGGGGTGCGGTCGGGACATGGAAACGGGGAGAAGGAAGGGGGAGGGGTGGGTGCAGGGGGGGGGCTGGTGGTGCGCTATGCGCTCATGGGATGCTTGCCTGGTGCAGCAATGGCGGAGCTGGGAGTGCGGTGCAGAGTGGTGGATGGGGCGCTGGTGCAGGGCTCACTGCAGCTGGAGCTGCAGGAGGAGGGCGGCCATCAGGTGCGTTGCCTCCGCCTCTGCATCTTCCTAATCCCTGCCTCCGCTCCTGCTTTCATCCCTGTCTCTCCACCTCTGCCCCGTATCGTGATGCATTCCTGACACACCCATCACTCGCCTTAACTCTTCCCGTACCTCTCCACCCCATCCGCCCCCTCTCCCTGCCCCCCTCCATCTACCCTCAGGTGGCGCTACTGCCGGGCCGGCACCTGTCTTACACTGTGTGCGGGGCGGCAGCAGCAGAGGAGCACGGCTTTGCCACGCTTGTGCGATACACTGGGGGGCCCGGGCTGGCGCGCGCCACAGCGCTGCTCAACTGGAGGGGGTGCGTAGTGGAGGTGGCACGCGAGGAGTCGGTGGCGCTGGCGCTGCTGCTGTGTGTCGCCATCGCTGAGGCGCTGCACGACATGCTCGCTGCACCGCGCTGCATGTGCTTCAGGCCCATGCTCCTGCCCAACCCCGATCCCGACACGCACTGGCAGGCCCTGTGCCTCAACCACGGCTCTCATGCCCCCTCCTCCGATGCGGCTAGGCCCAGCCGCGGTGGCAGAAGCGAGGAGCGAGGGGAAGAGTCAGGGTGGGCAATGGGGGAGCAGGCAGAGCGGAGGTGGTGGGAGCAGCGACCCCTGGCATGGATGCCTGGTGCTGCCAGCTGTGATTTCGGGGCTTGTGGGCCCAGCTTCACTCATGGATAGTGGGCAACGCTTTCCATGTATGAAATGCTTGTAAAATAGTGAAGCATTAACAGTATGACATGGCACTGGAGTAGACTATCCCTTGTGGGCAGCATGCCCTGCAACTCATGTGCAACTAAAGCAGGCAGAGGAGGGAGGGCGTGCAGGTGGTCACAGCCTGAGCAGGGCTGCCCCTGCTGCAGGGTGGGAAGCAAAAACACAGTTGGGCAGGTCGGCTTCAGTGATGGTGCCGGCAGCAATCTTGGGTGCGTAATAGTCTTCCTGCAGTGCGCACAGGGGAAGAAGCACAAGAGTGTGGTGAGTAGCAGAGGATAATTGTTTTTTCCGTGCAATGGCACTTGTCACTCTCAAGCAGCAGCAACCATCAGGAGTGCAAGTGGCAGTGCAAGCTGCCCTGCGCCACGATACCTTGAGGTGCGCGAGGAAGGAGTCTGTCTCGTGAGCGTGCACCAGCGCCACCACACAGCCGCCCCAGCCAGCGCCTGTGAGGCGGGCTCCCAGGGCGCCGTGCGCCTTGCAGCACGCCACCAGCTGCTCGAGCTCAGGGGAACTGTGGCACTCCCAAGGCAGGGCGTGGGAGGGACAGGGAGTGTGAAGGTTGACGGTGGAGGAAGCCAGCACGAGGGCATGAAGAGAGAACGAGTGGATACAGTCGCTGAGAGGGATGATGATGCAGTGGAAGGGAGATGAATGAAGAGGCACAGAACAAGACAGCAGCAGCCTCCTCCATGTGCCTTGCACCTTCCCATGGCCAGCGCTAGCCGTCTGTCCATCCCTTGTGCCTACCTCACTCACTCCTGCTCCCAGAGACACTAGTGCCTGCCATGCTTCACCTGCCATAACTTATGCTTCACCTGCATTCATAGAGGTCGCGACAGCTCGCGTGGCTGTCGTCCATAAGGCGGCCAAGAGAAAGCAGCACAGAGGGGCCTGCTGAAATGGCAGGTGCAGTGCTGCAGCAGGGAGCATGAATGGAGGCAAAGAGAGAGGGGGGGAAGAGGAGAGGTGGGGAGGCGGGGGGACGAGAGGGCAGCAAGGCATGAAGCGAAGGCCACTGTAGTGGCAGTGAAAGAACAAGAAGGGTGCGAGGGACAGAGATGGTTCCTCAATGAACCAATAAGCAACAATGCAGACTTCGAGCAAGAAAGTCAATAATAGGAAAAGGACGAGGCAGGTGCTGAGATAACCCTGAATAGAGCGTGCATTGGCTCCCAATCTAGTTGGTACTTATGTGCCCTGATTTCACATGCACTCGTTTCATGGACATCCAAACTGGAATAACGAGGGGTTGTGTGAACAGTGCACATGACACACTAAGAAAAGACCCAACGAGGTGGAGAGAGATACACACGAAGTAAGCTTACGAGTCAGAAGGTGCAGAGAGAGCAGCATCCCTGAATGCAAAGACGCGATGAGCTTCTGCATACACATGAAGAGCCCTCTGACGTCATGCGGTGGATGCCAGGTGGGTGCACGCATGGACAAGCACACACAATCGCACCCATGCAAGCGGGTGCAGGGGGTGCATGGTGCGTGTGACAAGGGAATGAGACAAGGATGCACATGTCGGTGGACCCACTCAATGCTCCAGAAAACGGTGTCGACATGCAAGACTGAGCCAGTGTGCATGCATCCACATCTGGAGAAAAGCAAGAGATGATAATCACGTAAAGGCACCCTTGCTGGCTGCCGACCTCGACCGCCACAGTTCAATAATTGAGCAGCTACGGGGTGGCAAGACAATGAGCATAGCTGTTGGGGCATGACTTCAGAGTGAACACGAGCATGCGTTGCCACAAGAGCAAGCATACCTGCTGTAACTTGAATTCGGTGGCGGCAGCGATGACAGCGAGGGAGGTTGGTGAGTCGGCAAAGACAGAGGCAAGTGACGCTTGAAGAAGAGCCTCGATCTCGCACGCGCTGTACGGGTCAGCATGCAGGCAGCGCTGCAGGGAAGTTTAGAAGCACAAGACACAGGCAGACCAAGGCAGCTTAGAATCACAGGTGTGCAGATTGACACTGACAGTGTGGGCCTTGTAGCCCACTGTTTGGGAATTGGCTGTCCTGCTGAAAATGGAGGACGCGGGCGGCATGGCATGCGGTGTGCAGGCAGGACTCACCCGCACAGCATCCAGCGCAGCGTGCTCGTCTGGTGGCTGTGGTGACGCGCTGCTGGCAGCACAGAGGGCGTCCACGTCTGCCAGTGTGCTGATGGAGGCGCGTGCTGTGGCAGGCTCCATGCCCAGCCGCACTGCCAGTACCATCTGGTGCCATGGGGAACACATGGAGGAGTGGGAAACGGATGGACCAATAGAATCGGGCGCAAGAGCAGAAACGCGCACCATCACCAATATTCCGAACCTGCAGCATGACACAGCTGCCCCCCGTTTGCTCATCCCCCAACTCACGGCGGCGAGGCGGCACTCCACAACCCGGCGATTGTAGTTGGTGGCGGCAGTCTCGGCCTTCTTGGAGACTGCCAGGGAGTTGGCGATCACCAACACGGCGGTGGACGGCAGAGGCACCGCGTGCGCCCTCACGGGGTTGAACTCTATCAGCTGTGCCACGCCGCGCTCTCCAAAGATGGAAATGGCCTGGGAGAAACCGGGCACGCATGGACGCAGTGAAGGGAGATGTGCAACACAGGTCATGCTTCTTGCTCCGAGGAAGAAAAAAAAACACTGGCAGTGGGGGTGAATGGGGGCAGGATGGGCTCTCTGCAGATCTGAGACCTAAGGGCTGACTAACTCAAAACGGCATTGCTGACGCATCGCATGCACGTATTCACAGAAGTGCATGACCACAGCAGACCTCGCTGGGAGCCATGCTTCCCCACGCAGCTGCTTGAGCTGCTCACCACCTGACACTGCCCGTCGTGCCGCACACCCCTCACCATTGCCGGCCATGCTGCACACCCCTCACCATTGCCGGCCGTGCTGCACACCCCTCACCACTGCCGGTCGTGCTGCACACCCCTCACCACTGCCCGTCGTGCTGCACACCCCTCACCACTGCCACTTCAAAGCCAGGGTGCCATGCCCGGTGCAGCTGCTCTTTAACAATCCACCTCTTTCTCATGCCCACTTCCCCCTCCCCTTCGCTTCAGTTATCCTTACCCCATCGGCTGCGACTCACTCTGTTGCACATGCTGCACTCACCCTTGGCCTTCTTACTAAGTCGCCCTCGCACTTGACCTCCCCGTGCTCGCTATCTGTGCTCTGCCCCTTCTCTTTCAAGATCAAGCACCGCTTGGGGGGGGACAGTTAGAGCATGGAACGAACGTTACCTGGTCCATGCCGCCAGACTGAGTGCCGATGTATCGCTCGCAGCGGCATGCCAGGTCAGCTATCTCCGCCTGAGAGGGAGGCAGTAAGAAGAGCATACTTAGGGAGAGACAGAGCCACAAGACTTTCAGAGAAGAATAATAATAAACAAGAAACGGACGAGGAGACACAGTTGAGGAGCCACAACACAGAATGAGGGCGGCAGCAGCACCTTGGGGAACGAAAATCCAAGGGCGGCCATGACAGCGATGGCAGAGGAGCACACGAGGGCAGCTGAGCTGGACAGGCCAGACCCTGGACACAGTGGCGCATGAGAAGAGAAAGCCGGGCAGCATGGTATGTAAGCACCAGAGCTCTAAGACGTAGAAGCGAGCAGAGGTCCAAATGAGGTGGCTGAGGTGGGAGGACACGGACTTGTACGGGCATGGAGAACGGCAAGCGCGCACGGGGAACCAGTGGGCAATGTTCTTCTCACCAAGAGGCACGCAGCCATCCACAAGCACATCAAGTCCAAGAGTTGGTTCCTCTCTACCCCCTGTCTCGTGCACATGATCCCAGACGCCCTTGTATCTGGTTGCAAAACACAAGCATGAAGCACAACAAGTTGCACAACGTAATTAACGTGCAGTAAAAAAACCAAGCATGTGAGATAACCTTTTAAAGAGAACAACAACACTCCATGCGCCAGACATTGTAATCAGCCACAACAGCTGCGCTTTGCCAGGGGGGTAAACACCTTAGAAATGTGAAAGCAGCGATTTTGTGACGGAGGAGGAACCATACCCACAAAGAAAGTAGCTGCCCCAGCTGTGGTTGCTTGTGTCAACTTCCTGCAAGGCAATGAACTCAACATTATGCTTGACTAACAAAACAGGCTGGATCAACAGGCTTCACGGACAGCTGGTCGACTTAGACAGGTCGTCCTGACAATCAGATAAAATCGAGCGTCTGTGGGCTGAGTTATATGCGACCTGAGCTTGATGGGCCGTGAGCTTCGAGCTACCTGCTTGGCGTGGATGCTGAACTCCGTGGCAGGGTACTTGGCGGGGTCCATGTTCGCCACGCGCAGGCGAGGCGGGAAAGGCGAGTCATCCTTACACGCAGATGTCTCCATGCTTGGCGTCCGTGCACAGCTGATGGCGACAAGGGTATCCAGGTGAATGGCCATGGGCAGCACCGCGTACCCCTCGTAGTCAATGTGCTCGCCGATGAGATTCACACGCCCTGCGTCCAGCCGGGCTCAGACATGCGGCACGTTTTGTCATTTACCGTGAAGGCGACGATGACTCAAGGGTTTGACCTCTCTACAAAAACGGAACAGCTCTTCGTACTGTTCAACCTCACTATCCCACATACCTGGTGCTCGAGAGATAAGCATCGGCTCTTTGCCGTAAAGTAGTTTGAATGCATCGCGTACTGCAACCACGCGGTCAGAATATGCAGAGACCCGAGAGGAGTGGACGTCGGATTCTTCAAAAATTGCAGCAGCCATGGTCCCTATGTTTGTGAAGAATGCTACCGAGTCTTCCTGCAGCGGTTGCGCAGATGATGCCATCACAGATGGCTAGGCCGAGGAGAGAATTCACTGCTCGTGTGGACGGTCGTAAAGGCGCTGGAGTGTGTAGCAGTGCAGCCCGAAACAGGTGCTGCACGAATACAAACATCTGTATGCATCCTCGAATGCTCGAACGGGGAAGTTCAAGCAGCCACCGTTCTGAAACGAATTGTCTGATTTGTAAACCTTACTGTATCAGATTTCATCCCCGAAATAAGAGCGTTCAAACAACAGAATTTCGGGTTATCGAGGTGATGCGCCCTTCGTGTCACAAATGGAGCTTGTAACCCAACCCGAGGGACCACAGCGATAGCAGAAGGGTTCTTACAACTGCAACTATCACTACTACTTCAACCGACCTAACTTGGTATGCATAATAGTAACAAGAAAAGCTGGCATCTGGAAAAATATATTGTAGTGAACGTTAGACAAAATGATCTACTTTCCCATGATTTCCTTCACAGCGCATATCTGCTCCTCGCCCATAGAGCTCATTACAGTAAGCACAAGGTCCTTGCCTTCACCAAAACCATCCTTGATCTGCAAGTTCAGATGTAGAAGTGAGCACGCCATGGAAGACATGGTACAAAACAGGAAAAATCGGCCTTCAAGACGAAGGAAGTCATACCTGTGAGAGGATAGCGTCATCGGTCGGGAGGCGAAGATCGTCCTTCGTGTCACCCGTCTCCGTCAAAAGAGAAACCTGAAGCAACACGTCGCCAACTATCAGGGCGCCGGAACCAAGGTCCAAAATTAAATCCACGATACAGACTATCGACACTTACAAAGCCATCTTCCGAAATATCGATGAGTTGGTAGTCCGTGCGAACCACTTCTGGAACCTGGAAACCCAAAAACCATCCAATGAGAAACAAATGCAGGACTAACGAAGCACTGCTGTGCAAACAAACTCACGTCGCAGTTGTGAGAAGACGGAACGATATCTTCCAGCTTCTTATTGGTGAATATATCAATCGCGACGAAGTGGCACTTCGCGTGACCGTGCTTCCCAGTCTTAGAGGTAGAAACCTCCACAACCTGTAGAATGTTCCACCATGGAAACACGACACAGTCGTAAACCGAAAACTACCTGAACCCCTATGAGGAGAAAAAGAGGCCACCAGAAGCAAGCAACCTCAAAGCCCCTGACCTAACTTGGATCTCCCTCGTCCCGTACCTTGCAAGGTCGTCCCTTGATTACAAGGTGGCCGCCCTTGCGAATGGCTCCAGCCTGTTGCGGAAACGTCTTCGATGCGCCAGCATCGGCGGAATCAAAATGGTGTTCCTCGTCAGACATCCTGCCTTCCTGCCTTCGAGCTACGGGACAAGGAGAGAAGCAGCGGGGAGGCTGGCTAGACACCCTCAGGACTTGTCCAGAGAGCTTGAGAGAAAGGTGTGGGGTTTGTGGCTACCCACAAAAATGGGGAGACGAAGGAAGCTGACGAAGACCTCAGCGCAGGAAACTGCGATACAGTCGCGATTCAAGCTACATAAGAGAACACGCCGAAATGTCATGCTAATATAAAGGCTACGCTGATTGTTTTGCAAAAGATATGGCTTCAATCTTAATACAATGTACTGATATGGCTTCATCATTATTTCATATTTCCGTATGATTTATGCGGTAAGACTTGGCACTTGGCAAACCGTATGTAATACCGTAATATCGAAAGCTAATTAATTGGGTATATATGAGAGTTAGGTGGGAATGATGAAATAGGGAAGGTGGGGTGGGTACAAGGACAATATCGAGAGTTTTCACACGTACCCCATAAGATGCAACTCAATGCAGCCTACCCCGCAAAACAGGCCCTCAGATTCAAGATTCGTTTTAGGATACACTAAGGCATCAGTTCAGTTTTGTAGGAAATCCAAATGGCGCATGGGGGTATGGCGTGTCAGAGGTCCACTGGTGATCCCCGATTGATCGTAGGGAAAGGTTACAGGCATGTTGGCCTTGGGCGTTATGGGTGCACAGACCCGCTACTTAACAAGCCATTTTATCCCAATGGTTTAGTGGTTGGGATTCTAACATGGTATCTTAGCGAAGGTCTCGGGTTCGAATCCCTGTGTGTGCACTTCGGGCATCCCAGTGCGGGGGGGTGTCAGAGGTCCACTGGTGATCCCCGATTGATCTTAGGGAAGGGTTACAGGCATGTTGGCGTTGGGGGTTATGGGCGTACTGACCCGCTACTTAACAAGCCCTTGACCAAGCAAGCTCCTGGACCAGGCAAGCTCCTGGACCAAGCAAGCTCCTGGACCAAGCAAGCTCTTTGACCAGACAAGCTTGCCTGGTTAGGAGCTTGCCTAGTCCAAGAGCTTGTCTGGTCAAAGAGCTTGTCTGGTCTAGGAGCTTGCCTGGTCCCTAAGCTCCTGGACCAGGCTAGCTCTTGGACGAAGGACGCCGACTCCTCTGCTCGCGGCAAGGGGCAAGACGACAAGGCGGCGTCGTGCTCGCTAGTCGGCGTTGTGGAGCCGACCGTCTCCCTGGCGCCGGAGGCCGGTGAGGACTTCCAGGCGGTGGCGGCAGCCGTGCAGGCGAACCCAGCGGTGGTCCTGCTCGACAGCGGTTGCTCGCACCACCTGATGGGGACCAAGGAGGCCTTTGTCGACCTGCAGCCGAGCGGCTCCATCAAGCACGTGCGCGGCTTCAATGGGGCACTGCAGGACGTTCAAGGCCGCGGCACTGTTGCTCTGCAAGGGGAGGCCGGGAAGCAGGTGCTCATCCCCAACGTGCTGTACGTGCCCGGCGTCCGGGCAAACCTGCTTTCAGCTGGCCAGCTGAAGGAGCACGGCGTGAAGCTGCAGGAGGACGGCGATGGGATGCTCCTCGTCTCAACGGCGGGAGAGGTGCTCGGCCGGGCAATGTACACCGGGCGTGTACTCTGCACCGACCTGCGCCCCTGCTCGGCCAAGCAGACGACGTCCAGCACGGAGGTAGTGGCCCTGCGGGCGACCGTCTCGGGGACGAAGGCAACGCCGGACAAACTGCACGCGAGGCTTGCGCACGTCAACATGGACACCATCCGGAGCTCGGCAAAGCACGAGGTCGCCACCGGGCTGGACCTCAAGTCGGCGTCTGGCGCTGACTTACCGTGTGTTTCGTGCGTCGGCGGGAAGCTGGCGCGACACACCTTCCCCGACAAAGGCTCCGACGCCGACGAAGTGCTGACCGTCGTGCACATCGACCTGTGCGGGCCGTTTCGTGTAGCTGCCAAGGATGGTAGCCTGTACTTCTTGCTGCTGAAGGACCGCAAGACCCGCTATGTGTGGGTGAGGCCGGTCGCCAAGAAGTAAGATGCGTTGCGGGAGTTCGTGCAGTCGCTGGCGGCGGCTGAGCGGCAAACGAAGCGGTCAGTGTTGATGCTACGCTCTGACCGGGGAGGAGAGTTCCTCGGAAAGCAGTTCACCGACTTCATGAACGGCAAGGGGATTGTCCACGACCTGACCTGCCCGTACACCCCGCAGCAGAACGACATGGCAGAGCGGGAGATGAGGACGGTGGTGGAGTCTGTGCACACGATGCTGCTGCACATGGGCGTGCAGCACCACTGGTGGCACCTCGCTTTGCGGTAGGCTGTTTGGGTCCGCAACTGCCTTGAGAGGTCGGCGCTGCCGCCGGGGACGACGCTGTACCAGCTGCTCACCGGGAAGAAGCCCGACTTGTCGCTGGCACGGGTGTGGGGCTGCATGGCGCAGTTCTTGGTCCACGAGCAGCAGCGTGGTGGGAAGCTGTAGCCCAAGGCCCGGTGGGGCCTTCACCTCGGCGTGTCGAAGGAGAGTAAGGGCTGGGAGCTCCTCGACATCGCCGACAACCGGGTGGTCACCACGTCGGATGTGGTGTTCTACGAGAGCATGTCGCTGGAAGTGTGGAAGTCGGCGCACGGGCCGGCGTCCGGGCGGACGCCGGTTCACCCGCCAACGGACACCTCGACGGCGACACTGCCTCTGCTTGCCGAGGTCGGGGAGCTTGCTGAAGCGGATGTCAAGGACGTCCCTGCTCCCTGCCCTTCACCTGCCCCTCCCCTTGTTGCCGACTTGCATGGGCTGACCTCGACGTTGGCCTCCGGTGATGAGGGGAGCTGTGGGGCGTCACCTGTGGCGCCGGCCCCAAGCATCGCCGGTGGCCGACGTGATGCTGTGAAAGTCGGCGTGGGAGCGAAGCTGACGCCGACGGGGAGGCAGCAGGTGGTGCTGCCGACTTTGGTGAAGCCGGTCAAAGGGACGCCGCCTGTAGAACAGCAGCTGACAGGGGAGCAGGCAGCAGTGACACCGACCAAGGAGCAGTCAGCGACTGGGCAGTCGGCAGGGGAGCCGACCACAAGGGAGAAGTTGGCTGGGAAGCCGACTGAGGTGCAGCAAGACGCCGAGGACAGCGATGACAGCGCTGATCAAGGGGACGCCGAGGAGGTTCAGCTGGGACCATGGCGGACAAGCCGACTTCGAGGCCGCCTGACTTCTTCGTCCCCGCAGCCTTCACCATGGTGTACGACGTGGACGATGATGACGACGACCTGCTGTACGACGACGCCGAGGAGGATGAGGAGTTTCCGGAGCTCGACCCCGACATGCAGGCCGACCCCGAGCACCGTTGGGACATCTCCATGATGACGGTGAAGGAGGCGTTGGCAAGCTGGAAGGACCCGGCGGTGAAGGCCGCCATGGAGGAGGAGATCCGCAACCTCATCAACATGGGCACGTGGGAGCTGGTCGAACGCCCGCCGGGAGTGAACATCATGAAGAACCGGTGGGTGATGACGACGAAGTACCACATCGACGACACCGTCGAGCGAGAGAAGGCGAGGCTGGTCGTGAAGGGCGTCACGCAGGTGTACGGCGCCGACTACGACGAGACGTTCGCGCCAGTGGGCAGCTACGTCACGCTGAGGATCTTCCTCAGCATCGGCGCCGTCCTCAACCTCAACCTGATGCAGCTCGACATGAAGAATGCCTTCATGCAGAGCAAGCTCGACCAGGTGCTCTACATGTCCCAGCTGGACTACTTCAACGACAGAACCGGCCGGGTGTGCAAGCTGCTGAAGAGCATGTACGGGCTGAAGCAGTCGCCGCTGCTGTGATACTTGGCGCTCAACGACGTGCTGGTCGGCGCCGGGTGGAAGAAGAGCCAGGTTGACGAGGCTTTGTACTTCAAGGTCGGCGTCGACAGAGTGGCCTGTGTTGAATAACTGAACAGGAATGAATGAACTAGCAGTGAAAACAGTACAAGTACCTAACCCTAGAATTGTGTACCCCCTATAGGCTAACCCACTGTAGCCTATGCAGGGATAGCATTCCAGGCCGCTAACCGACTGGGATAAAAGGGCATGTTTCCTTGGTGGGTCAGCGCACCCATACCCCCCCAGGACGACACCTGTAGCCCTTGGGGAGACCACTTCGGGCCATTCCAGTGTCCACTTCCAACAGCCTAAACTAACACAACATATATATAATGTTTGACACACCCCCATAGGCAAAGTGGGGGAGAACTAGGGGTCACAAGACCAGTCAAGGCAAAGCAAGGCAACACAAGCTCAGGGTGGATCTCAAAGATACCACACAAATTCCGAGCACAAGCAAGTGGTCACAAGACCAGTTCACATGCAGGTTTATAATAGAGCAAAAGGTACAATGATCACAACCTAGCAACAGTAAACATGCAGGTATATATATATAGAGATCACAGTACAAACAGACCCAAGAAGTAAGCAAGTGAGGTCCAGTAGGCACAAGGCCTAGGAGAGTGCAAAAGCGCTGATGGTCACAAGGCTGAAGCGCCTTAGTGAACACATCAACAGTGTTGGCCTCAGAGGCCACGTAACGCAGGCAAAGCTGACCACGCTGCTGCAGCTCTCGAGCAAGGAAGTAACGCAGAGCAATGTGCTTTGTTCTGTGCTCCAGTCTGTGCTCCTCACACAAGGCAATGGCTGCATTGTTGTCGACGTACAGCACTGGAGGAGAACGAGGCTGCTCTCCAAGGTCGGTCAGCAAGTAGGTGAGCCAGCGTAGCTCCTGGGCCGCCATGGCTGTGGCGTAGATCTCAGCCTCACAACTGGAGTTGAGAACAGAAGAAGAGCGAGTAGAACGCCACGAAACTGAGCCAGAGCCAAGACTGAAGGAGTAACCCTGAGATGACCGCTGAGTAGCCTGGTCGTCTGCCCAAGAAGCGTCTGAGTGCCCAGTGAGAACAACTGGGACTCGCCCTCCAAGCACTAGCCCCATGCCCGACGTACTGCACAAGTAGCGCAACACCCTCTTAGCTGCATCCATGTGCTCCTTCCGGTGACGGGCGGGAGCGAC